TGTATGAATTTAAATCATTGAGTGGTCCCGTTTCAATATTTTAAATTTATTCAAATTGTTCTCATACTTTGATAAACTGAATTTTAGTGCAATTCAGCTAATTTTCGTAAAAGTTTCATCACAAACCTGAACAGTTTTAGAATCTTTAAAAATTGATAAAATTTCTCCATCTTGCAGGTATTAATAATGCTACTCAACAGATAAATGATAATCTTTTTCCATAACTATCCAATCTAATATCTTACTCTTTATTAATTTCTTAGCCTAAGAAATTTAAAAATAAGTATATAATTGTATGTGTTCCTGATCGGGCAAAATTTTTAATTATTCTTAATTACAGTTTTACTTTTATAATGATTTAACTTTGATTATTAATATATTTAGGAATCAAAATTGATATTGTAGCTTTTAAAGTTTCAATTATAGGAAAAAAAACGGTAGGCTTTTTGAACTGAAAGGAAAAAATAAAAAGATAAACTAACGATAGAATTTTTAGTCACAAATAACTTGAATAATAAACAGAGAAAAAATACTGAATTTAATTGAAGTAAAATATGAATAATATAATAAGTAAAAATATACAATCAAAAATTTATTTGGGAATTGTGAAAAATGTATCGTGAAATATAAATACTAGTTTCTATTTTTTTTACTTTTTTAAGATAGTATTGGATTGAAAACATAAAAAATGAATCCAATTTTTTGTTAAATATTTAGTTATGTATTCTATATTTAGAAGGCATAAGTATGTAGTTTTTACGATCAAATAGTAAGGAACTATAAAAGAACCTTCAATTTGATAGTAAGAAAAGTTTTAATATTTGGCTGTAAAAGCTAAGATTTAATCATTAATTATAATGTTTCCTAAATCTTGTGATGAATTTTTTCAATGTCGTCTCTTCAAAAAAAAGTTCCTAGGAACCTCAACGAGATTTTTATATATTTTTATGGATAAAGTTGTTGTGAATAAGGTAAGATAGAGATTAATTTTCTTCCAAGGAATCTAATCGTAAGAGAACAGATCGTGTTTTTAATGTAGAAAATACTAACAGAATAGTATGGAAATATACGACAGAATAGCCAATAAAGTTAAAAGGACTAACATTTGACAATGGTAATGTTTAATAGGACTACTATGGAGAAGATGATGTACTTCGTGAATTAAAAAAACATATCTCAAAGTTATTCTTTTAAGCTAAAGTACAAGAAGAATATTTAGCTTTATAAGTAATTGGATAAGGAAATTATGCTTTAGTATAAATCAAACTCATTTATATATAGGTTCTTGAATTATAACATTTACACTCTAATCAAAAGTTTGCTTCAAAATGCATAGATAAGAAAAAACTTTAGACAATTGAATAAGGAATGGTAATAAATTTGTTTATTTTAAATAGGAATCAGTGTTGAATGAAATCTCAATAATGAGAATTTTAAGTCCACATGAATAACTCATAAATTTGATTGAAGTTTATGAAGGAGATAATAACATATATTTGATAATGGACTTAGCTTAAGGAGGAAGTTTATATAAGGAAATGAAAAATAAGTTGACTCTTTATAGTAGAAAAGAAGTCTAAAAAGTAAATATTATAATTTAAATTAAAGATAATGTATTAAATATTATCTGGATTAAAATATATTCATTCTAAAGGAATTATGCATAGAGATCTTAAACCAGAAAATATTCTCTTCAAAGATAAGGGGAATATCGGTTCTTTAACTATTGCTGATTTTGGTTTATCAGTCAAAGTAGACTCTTATCCTTATCTTTATCCTAAATGTGGTACTCCTGGGTTTGTTGCACCTGAAATAGTTAATATGATAGATAAAACCTAATCATATTCTACAGCTTGTGATATATTTTCTGCTGGTGTTATTTTTCATATCTTACTTTTGGGAGAAGGTTTATTTGTTGGTAATGGACATCAAGAAATATTAAGAATGAACAAATAGTTCTAGGTTGATTTTGGAAGAAATAAATACTAATAATTAGATTCTGATGCCAGAGATTTATTGTAAACTTAAATACTATTTTTAGGTTTAAAATGATAGCTTAGGATCCAGAAAATAGGTATACAGCAGCCTAATCTATTATTCATCCCTTTTTTTAAAATGAAATGGCTCCCTAATTTTAAATTAAAATTTAAGATTCTCCAACCAAAGCTTCTTTTGATCACTATTTAGACACATATAATAGTCCTGATCAAAAGTTAATGAACAAGGATCGTAAAAATTTATCAATTGTTACTCGAACTCCAATCTATGCTCCTAAGGCTAGTACACCTGAAATACCTTAATAAAAATCCATCATGGAAGAACTAAGTCCACTCAGTTCATTTTCTTTAGATTAGCAACGTAATGAAACAAATAAAGAAGATTAATTCTAATTTGATATTACTAAGTGATTATTATGATTATATATGAAAAAATTATGTTAAAATTTAGTTCTAATTTTGCTATTAATATAGCAATTCTAAATCCAAAAAAATTATACACACTTTGTTTAAAGTATTTTGCAGACAAATAATATTTTTCTGAAAGTTTAAAACAATATATAAAAATGAAAAGTGCAAGGTTTTTTATATAAATGAAGAATCATTAAGGAGGAGAATCATGAATAAAAAATTAAGAATTCACTATTTTTAAAATTTGTAATATTAGATTATAAAGGAAATTTTGTTAATATATATAATTTTAATTTTCAATGTAATAATAATGATAATAGAAAAAATATTTATATTAAATTTAAAACTTCTTCCTCACTTAAATTTAAAAAAAAAAATATTAAAAGAGAATTGTGTTACATTAAACTAATATCATTAGCAGAGTTCGAAGATTTATTGCTTGAGGATAACTAATAATGATTACTAATATTTAAAATTATAATCAAAGTAATATTCTCTTATTGTAAGTTTTTTCTAAATTGTTTATATATTCCTGATGATGTATATAGAAATCTTCAATGAAGTTGGGGGGTAAATTAAAACTATGTTTTGGGTCTGCTTCATCTTAGAATTTAGCCTCTAATATTTTTTTCTAACATTAAACACATTAAGATTACTGCTAATTCTTCTCTTTCTATTTTTGATCCTCCATTGTGTTTTAGTCTTATATGTAAATTCAATGAAATATCAGTTCCATAGATTTTGTCGCATTTTTCATAAGGACACTATTTAAGACTATAACAAAAAAGTACTTAAAAATCTCTTTTGATAAGGTTGGCAGTTCTTCGTTTTTTTTTGATTTCTTATTTTTGTGGTTAAACGAGGGTGTAATGTTCTGTAATTGATTCCTAACAAAACTTATCTAATTTAACTTACTTCCAAATAATCAAGGCGTTTAGCCAATTGATTTAAATCTTAATCTAAATCATCAATATTCCTAGAAATNTAATTTTAAATTAAAATTTAAGATTCTCCAACCAAAGCTTCTTTTGATCACTATTTAGACACATATAATAGTCCTGATCAAAAGTTAATGAACAAGGATCGTAAAAATTTATCAATTGTTACTCGAACTCCAATCTATGCTCCTAAGGCTAGTACACCTGAAATACCTTAATAAAAATCCATCATGGAAGAACTAAGTCCACTCAGTTCATTTTCTTTAGATTAGCAACGTAATGAAACAAATAAAGAAGATTAATTCTAATTTGATATTACTAAGTGATTATTATGATTATATATGAAAAAATTATGTTAAAATTTAGTTCTAATTTTGCTATTAATACACACTTTGTTTAAAGTATTTTGCAGACAAATAATATTTTTCTGAAAGTTTAAAACAATATATAAAAATGAAAAGTGCAAGGTTTTTTATATAAATGAAGAATCATTAAGGAGGAGAATCATGAATAAAAAATTAAGAATTCACTATTTTTAAAATTTGTAATATTAGATTATAAAGGAAATTTTGTTAATATATATAATTTTAATTTTCAATGTAATAATAATGATAATAGAAAAAATATTTATATTAAATTTAAAACTTCTTCCTCACTTAAATTTAAAAAAAAAAATATTAAAAGAGAATTGTGTTACATTAAACTAATATCATTAGCAGAGTTCGAAGATTTATTGCTTGAGGATAACTAATAATGATTACTAATATTTAAAATTATAATCAAAGTAATATTCTCTTATTGTAAGTTTTTTCTAAATTGTTTATATATTCCTGATGATGTATATAGAAATCTTCAATGAAGTTGGGGGGTAAATTAAAACTATGTTTTGGGTCTGCTTCATCTTAGAATTTAGCCTCTAATATTTTTTTCTAACATTAAACACATTAAGATTACTGCTAATTCTTCTCTTTCTATTTTTGATCCTCCATTGTGTTTTAGTCTTATATGTAAATTCAATGAAATATCAGTTCCATAGATTTTGTCGCATTTTTCATAAGGACACTATTTAAGACTATAACAAAAAAGTACTTAAAAATCCCTTTTGATAAGGTTGGCAGTTCTTCGTTTTTTTTTGATTTCTTATTTTTGTGGTTAAACGAGGGTGTAATGTTCTGTAATTGATTCCTAACAAAACTTATCTAATTTAACTTACTTCCAAATAATCAAGGCGTTTAGCCAATTGATTTAAATCTTAATCTAAATCATCAATATTCCTAGAAATCTGTTAAAAGTTCATCATTAGCTTCTCTAATGTACTTTTATTGCAAGCTGGTGGCTTTTTACCCAAGAACTCAATTTATTCTTTTTCGCTTAACATACTAATTTTCTAAACTATTAATTAAATTGGGGATCGTTGCATACTTGGTATTTCTACAATATTTGAATATTATATTACTTGATAATATAAAATCGCTCAACTATGAGAATTGTTTCGATTATAATTTATAAATAAGAGGGCAAAATATTCATTATAAGTATAAGAATATTAAATAAATATTTTCAAATAGAAATCGATAACTTGATATAAAAATCAAAAAAACCCTTTAAAACTTTGATTGAAAGTGATCAAAACTTTAATGACACAGAATAAAGTATAAGAATTAAATTTATTTATAAATCAATAGATGGTGTGTTATCAATAAAGTTGAAAAATGTGATTGATATATAAATGTAAAATTCAATTAATTGATTTATCTTTGAAGCATCAAAATAATTTATTTTTTTATATCAGAAATAAAATAGAAAAAGTTCTATTATTTGTAAGGCTTAGTTAGTAAACTTATATTTTATTAATATACCCAATTAAAGAATAATTTATTCTATGATAGGGAATCTGCTGAATATCATTAATAAAAAATACTTTTTGGTTTGAATTGAATTGTATTGATATAAATGAGAGAGAAATTTTAATAATTATATGTTTAAGATAGAAGGTTTAATAAATAAGATTGAAAATAGTTTGTTAAAATTAATATAAATAGATAGTAGATAGAAAATAATGTAAATTGTAAATTTTATTTAATAATGATTCTAATCAATTTGCTAATAATTTTCTCTTGAGTTATCCTAATTTGGAAGAGATTAGATCAACAGCTACAGCAACGGATCTTTTTTATTTAATTCTTGGAAAATATGTAAAATTAATACCTACTAGAAGTATCAGTTTCGTATTCTTATCTTTTTAATCTGCAATCATTTTCTCTGTTTTCTTTTTCTTTTGATTTGGTAGTGATTTTTTAATCAACCTCAAATTTTTCATTTTTAGCTTGTTAGATTCTATTAGATAAGGAATCAATCAAACCTAAAAGTAATTTTTAAATAAAATAGTATACCTTCCATATAAGTTTTATCTTAATTAGCTTTAACCAATTAATCAGACAAAAGTGTTCTTAAATCTTCAAATGAACTTTATCTGAGATTTTCAGCTTAATCTTCTCTGATTCTTTCAGATTAAATGTAGTTCTCAATCTATTTAAGAATAGATAAGACCTTTCTGGTCAAAACTTCACATTGACTTGGTTCATCAGCTGTAGTTTATGCTTAATTAGCTAATTGACTTAGAATTTCAATTATAGATTTATAACCTTCTAAATGAACCTACAATTAATTTAGATAATTACATGATGCTTTAATTTATTAACTTTTTGAGCAACTTAAGCAAATGAAGAGATTCCTTTAGAATCAATATCTTCTTCTACATCTTCATCATTGTATTAGAAATTATAATCTTCTTATAGGAATGATGGCTATGGTTATTAAAATCTATTTCTATTCTTTACTAAGACATCTAAATATTTATTGAAGTATCCTTTAACTTAATTAACTCCAAATAATGCTTATTCAAGATTATCAAGAATAGTTTAATAAGTAGCTGATTCTTTTTATCTTTTTAAAGTCTAATAATCTAATTCTGCTTTTAAATCTACTATTTCTAAATTCTTTCTCTCTAAACTAGCTACTGCTTACACTTTTTATGGATTCAATGAATCTAAATCACTTTTTAATGTAAGTGATGCGACTGTGCTTGTATTTATTATCTCTGTCAATTAACTTAAAGCAATATCACAGTTTTATTTAAATCTTACTATTCTTTCATCATCTCGTTTCTACTCTCCATCTAATGTTTGTTCTAAGTGTTGCATTATATCTATCAAATTTGAGACAACTGGATCATCTGTTTACATCTCCATCTAAATTGTTTACAAAATTGTTTATCCAAATTAAGTTTCTTCGAGTTCACCTATTTAATCATCAAATTCTGTTCCTAAACATCCTACTATCACCAATACAACAAACAATGCTTTTTTCATATTTTATATAATTAACAATAAAAATCCGTTTTACACTCTATAATTAATATGCTTATATATTTGATAAACTTAACCTCGCTACCCTATCTAGTCATTTTCTAATTCTTCCTTTCTATCTCCTATCAAATGATATAAATTATTCAATTCATAAATCAGTGAAGATATGTATCTAATCTTCAGATTTAATAAATTTACATATATATGTAAAATTGTTCAATATAACACTGCTATTTTAAATAAACTATTTAAAAGTTGAATTATATGCAAATTTTAGAATATAAATTTAATTTTAAAATGAACTCAGAAATAATTGAAGTGTGTTAACATTAAAAAGACAATATTCTAGTTAAATTGAAGAATGGAGAAAAGAAATGGTTTAAATTTGAGGAGGTTCTTAAACAATAGCCCAAGATGCTTGCTTAATGGCTTGAAAAACAAGTATTTTTCAGGGAAGTAGAGGAAGATAGATTATATTGATGTGTTTTTGTTTTAATTAAATTCAAAGCTTAATACTAAATTCTAAAAACTCATTCAACTAATCTCCGATGCTCATTATTTTTATCATGTTTCGCTTACTTAATTTTAATATTATTATAAGTAAGTACAATTAAATTTCGAAAATTACTTCTCTCATTTAATTCATGAAGAATTTCAAAATAAAAACACATTATTTGGTAAAATTATATTAATATTCAACATTTTAGTTTCTAAAAATTTTTAGACAATCTAACTGCGCATAAATATAAAATTTTAAATCCAATTTATCATCATAAATTTCATTTTTAGTTTAATCTTAAATAAATCAATCTCAGTATTTGTATATTATTTTTATTTTACCATTATATTTCTTTCTCTTAAGAAAATATAATTCTCTATACTTAGAAAATCTTTGATATTAATTATTTAATATGTTAAAGGTAATTAAAATTATTTTTCGTTTGATTTATACATATTTTTAATGTTGTTACTTTTTCTAGTAAATTCTAATAAATTAAATTATATTCCAAAGAAACCAACAAAAATTCCTTAAAATATTATAAAGATACATAAATAATGATATTGATCTAGTTTAAACGTTTCAAAATCAATTAGTAAGTTGAATTGATATATTCTTAAATTCACAATCATAATCTTCAATAAATTAATAGGATATAGTAAGTCATATATTTAATGTTTTTTTAATAATATCATTCAAAAATATATCAATTTATTAAAACAAGGAAAAATCCTAAAAATGAATAAAGAGGAGAAGAAGTTAAATGATAAAACTTAACCAAAAAGTGCATTAAAGAAAGAGATTAAAAAAGGAAATTAGAGTATTTAAGATCAAAATAACTTAAGTTTAGAGGTTTGATAGAAAAGGTCAAGAAATTAAATAAGGTTCAAAATATGAGATCACAATCAATGATAAAGCCTAATTAGTCACTCTTGATAGTGAATAAAATCAAATTGTTAATCTAGATTTATTGAATTCTTCTAAATAAGAGAATATAGAAATTTATACAAAAACATGTTTAAGGACCTCCAGAAGTTTAGAACTGAATACATAAGAGGAAGCGTTTTTAAAGATGCTGAGTTAAAATTTCGAAAAAAATAAGAAAAAGGGAAAAAGAAAAGAGTGCTGCATTATTTATTGAAAAACCATCACTTTTGTATATATTAATTTATCAATAATATAATAAAATGGGTGAAAAACTGCTCTCACCCTATATATATTAATAAAAAATTTTAAAACTTTTGAAGAGCAAGCGACTTTTTTTAAAGAAAAACTAAATTCAAAGTTAAAAAATTTATTCTGGCTTTTCTAGTTTTGATTTTAGAAGTGATTTGCTGAAATATCAATAATACTAAAATTTACTTTAATTTTGCAATACACCTTATTTTATTGAAGAATTTAAATTTAATGAATAATCAAATCTAAATCAGTTAAATCATTTTACTTTTGATTTTGTGTTATAGTTTTCTTAAAATTGAATTTTCGGTGGGTTTGATAAAATATCTCTTTAGCTAAGTCTTTTGGCACTTCCAATTTATAGTTCAAGGAAATTATTAAGACATCTGATTTTTTTTTATAAAGAATTTAAGAAAAATGATTATTTTCATAACTCATATTTGAGACATCGTCAACTTTAGCTATTGTATCCATTGCTATAATCCACTAATTAATGCAATCTTTTCTTCCAATTCATTTCGAAATACTTCAAAATAATTTGGATTAGTCTTTTTAGGTTGAATGTCACTTGACTATTTTTCTAAGGTATGATTTTTTAACATTTTTTTCAATACTCTCTATTTCCTGATTCGTTTTTAGGTCAATTAAGGGGTCAAGAGTTTTTAAGAAACAGTACAAATATTCTTTAACTGCTAACATATTGATTTAATTTTTTCCTTCTCTGTCAAACTTAAATCTATCACTGAGTTATTCATTATCATGTCATCTTGAATTATTTGCATACTAAAATTATGATAAGGAAAATTTTTGAGTAATTAAATTATATTATTTTCACTATTGCATTTAATTAATCCGTTTTATTATTTTTATAAATAATAAATACTTAGGAAAAGGAGCTAAACTATGATTTCTACATTTATTATGAATATATAATTATTATATTTTCTAAGTTAATTATAATAATGAATTATTTATTTTGATTATTAAAATCTGAATATAATTAATACCTAAGAAAATTCGGTTTTTACTAGCCTAAGCATGACCAAATAATTAATATTTTAGTATAAATTTTTAATCTTGAAGATTTAACTCAATTAAAACTATAAATATGTTTAATTTAATTGGAAATGTATCTTATAACACATGAGAGAATGATTAAATAAGATGATTTACTAATAGAATTAAAAATTTGTTAAGAATAGTAGAGATTCTTGATAATATGAACTATTAATTAAGATTGACTATTAAATTAAGTTATTAAACTAAATATATTATAATTAATTAATCAAAAATTAAGATTAGAAAATGTTCAAACTACCTCCTTCAACAAATTCCTAAAAATCTACACCAAGATCAATGAAAAGTTTAAATTCAATAAGTCATTCTAATAGAGAAGTACTTATGAATGAATATTTTAACTTACCTATGATATCAACGAAAAGTATGATTGGAAATTATAGAATAATTGGTACAAATCTAAATAAGAAAGAGTTCAATAAAAATAATAAAGAATATCATTAAGTGATTTCTAATGTACAATAATTAAAGTTAGTGGGCTAAACAGAAAAAAGTTTTGGATTTTCTAATTATAATTTTCTTGAAAAGTACTATTAGAATAAGGCAACTAATTAAATAAGAATGAAAGAAACAAGAAAATATAATCGATTATTTAAGGTAGAGAAAATAATAGAATAAAGATATTCTAGCCTATAATAAAAAAATGTACAAAATTTAGGCAATTCAACAGATGACTTATAATAATCCTTAAGATGGGATTCAAGGAAATAAGAGAATCAATATAAGTCTTTCAGTGCAAATTAGTCAACAATACTTATTCCTTAATATTAGGATGTGATTATCATTAAAAATAATGAAATTGAGTAACTTATGGAAAGAATAGATAAGTAACGTAAAAAGCTTAAAGTAGTGTTTCTATTTATCTTTTCATTAATGGCGATAACAAAAAAATATCAGTATTTAATATATTTAATCTTAGATTGTTAAAAAAAGAAGAAAAATAAAAGATAATTTTATTAAATAATAAGCTTTAGAGTTGTTAAAAAATAATTAATTCAAATGAAATAAGATCTATTGAAATATAATAAGAATATTTTATTTCAATTATTTCAAATAAGGTTCTTCACTATTTAAATAGTTAAACATATATTAATGAATGTAATTAGATTGATGAATTTACTAACCCCATTTAGAATATGGATTTGAAATAACTTAGAATACAATGCTTTTCAAAATTGATTTACTAAAATTTGGAATTGCTAACTAGAGAGAGCAATTTCCCAGAATTATTAAAATGTTAATTGATAACAAGTCTATTTAAGACATCAAAATAATAGACCTCATTTTTTGTAGGAAAGAGATGTAATTTTTATTAGGGAAATTAAATTTATCTTTAAAAAGAGTAGAAGTTGGCAATAGCTATGGAATTTTTACTTTTTTAGATAATAATTCCGAAATTCGTATAAATTGTGAATAATTTACCAACACAAAGCAAAAACTATAAATTTTAAACTTAAGAAATAATAATTTTAATTGCAAGCTTTATGCATAGGTAATTTGTGAATAAATTTAAAAAAATGAAAAAAGTAAAAAATCCAAATGGTTATATGGTCAATAGACAATTGAATATCTAATATTAACAAGATGGGTTATTTTGGAATGAAATTACCATTTCAAATAATGCTGGAGATAATAATGTAGTTCTAGAAGGATTATTAGAATAAGAAAAGCTATAATTCATAGAAAATGCAAACCCAAGATGGAAATAATAGTTGGATATATTATTTGAAAAGATTCTGTAAAATATTGAGGCTTTAATAAACTTTTGATTAAAAAATATTTTCTCTTTTTATATGTTAAAATTTATTTGACGAATTTTCTTATAATAGAAGCAGAGATCTTCAGATAATGATTCTGTAGGTTAATAGGAGTTTTAGAAATTATAAAAAACAAATAATATAGTAATTTTAATTTAAAATTATCTTATCTGTTTTTATCTTATAGAAGCTAATTTGAATTATGCAATATTAAGCTTCAAGTTAAGTATTTTAACGAAATAATAAAAAATTTACCTGAAAACAAAAAATGTTTTGTGTTTCTATTCATAATTAATGCATTTGAATCAATTTTTAAATGCTACTATTTGCATTCAACAGAATAAATCATACATTTAGTAATTAAGTATAGATTTTAATACCACTTTAAGTTTTTTAAAGGAATTTATCATGATAACAGGGTTTAGCATCTTTAAGGTATGGATTAATATAAAGGAGCTCATTTAAATTAAATTACTAAAGGACCTTAATATCATGTTACCTAATCTCAGTACTATATGCTATAAATTTAATAAAATTAAATATTTTTAAAACCTAGAATAAAATATATTGTATTAGTTTTAGTGGAATTACTAAATTAAGTTATATTTAAAAATCTTTTCATTCTCTAATAAACTAATCTAACTTATAAAGATTTCTAATTTTTTATATAAGTAAGATGTTTTAGCTGCAATTTCGGTATTAAAGGTATTAAAGAAATTCGTTGAAATATTGATATGCAAGTTTTCATTCCTGTTTTAGATTAAAATAGTCTAATATAGATTGGATTAAAGAGTATCTTAAGAATAGTAACATTAATGGACTACTAAACCAGCAGAACTGTAGGATAATTTAAAGCAATAAATTACTTAAAAACAATTAGACAGATTTCGATTTATAGCATGCACTCCACTAAGTCCTAAATAAATTTTCATTGAAACAAGTCAATATTATTGCTTAAATAAAAATATATTTATATAAGATTTGGGTTAAGTTAATTTATTTTTTAATAATTTAATTACCTTAAACAAAAAATATTTTTTAAAATAACATAAATATTTAATGAATTTATAATTTCATCACTAAATATGCTTAAGTATTTGACTAGCTCTTTGTGATGTTATTTCATGTTTACAATTAATTACTATATCGTTCAGATATGTTGTGATTTTATGTTGTTTTAAAAAGTTCACTATGAAATTATCACTCTAATTGTGTTGAAGAACAGTAAAGGTCACTAATTAAATAAAANTTTATCTTATAGAAGCTAATTTGAATTATGCAATATTAAGCTTCAAGTTAAGTATTTTAACGAAATAATAAAAAATTTACCTGAAAACAAAAAATGTTTTGTGTTTCTATTCATAATTAATGCATTTGAATCAATTTTTAAATGCTACTATTTGCATTCAACAGAATAAATCATACATTTAGTAATTAAGTATAGATTTTAATACCACTTTAAGTTTTTTAAAGGAATTTATCATGATAACAGGGTTTAGCATCTTTAAGGTATGGATTAATATAAAGGAGCTCATTTAAATTAAATTACTAAAGGACCTTAATATCATGTTACCTAATCTCAGTACTATATGCTATAAATTTAATAAAATTAAATATTTTTAAAACCTAGAATAAAATATATTGTATTAGTTTTAGTGGAATTACTAAATTAAGTTATATTTAAAAATCTTTTCATTCTCTAATAAACTAATCTAACTTATAAAGATTTCTAATTTTTTATATAAGTAAGATGTTTTAGCTGCAATTTCGGTATTAAAGGTATTAAAGAAATTCGTTGAAATATTGATATGCAAGTTTTCATTCCTGTTTTAGATTAAAATAGTCTAATATAGATTGGATTAAAGAGTATCTTAAGAATAGTAACATTAATGGACTACTAAACCAGCAGAACTGTAGGATAATTTAAAGCAATAAATTACTTAAAAACAATTAGACAGATTTCGATTTATAGCATGCACTCCACTAAGTCCTAAATAAATTTTCATTGAAACAAGTCAATATTATTGCTTAAATAAAAATATATTTATATAAGATTTGGGTTAAGTTAATTTATTTTTTAATAATTTAATTACCTTAAACAAAAAATATTTTTTAAAATAACATAAATATTTAATGAATTTATAATTTCATCACTAAATATGCTTAAGTATTTGACTAGCTCTTTGTGATGTTATTTCATGTTTACAATTAATTACTATATCGTTCAGATATGTTGTGATTTTATGTTGTTTTAAAAAGTTCACTATGAAATTATCACTCTAATTGTGTTGAAGAACAGTAAAGGTCACTAATTAAATAAAAAGATTACATTTAATTAACTATTTACTAAGGACAAAATCCTACCATTCCTTCATTTCTTAATATACAGAAATTAGAAGATTTAATAATCCATTATTGTATAAATCTATACATTACTAAAAAGTACTACTTGAAAATATAAAAAATAAGGCTTCTAATTAATGATATAAGATTTAACGATCCTCTAAAATAAGATAAAAAATTACTTTCTTTTTCAATCAAATGCAAAAGTTATAATGGAATTTAATTTAAATGGATATTCTCGATAATATATTAAGATTAATTACAAAACAATTATTTTATAATAATAGATGCTTAAGTTCTTATAGAATTATCAATAGTTTTATTACTTGATGAATGATGATCAATAATAGTTAGTAATTAAAATAAAATACCTGGATGCTTTTCCATAATATCAAATTTTAATAAATGATCATTCAATTTCATTGACTCAGAAATAACATTTAATGCACTCTATCTTAAAGAATATTATTCTTAAACTACAAATGCCAAATTTGTAAGGATTATCCAAAAGTTTTAATAAATTGTTAAGTTAGTAGAAAATTGAGATTTATCAATAAATTATCGAACAAATTATAGTATTCTATTTAGAAATGAATGTTTTGTTTCAGAATATTTTTCATTATTCTCCAAATCAAATTCTAAATCTAAATAATTTATCCTTCGCAATTTCTTGCATAATTTATCTAAAATTAACATTAATGGTGTAACTTCTTAAAATGGAATTCTACTATTAGTCTCAATAAATGTTTTAATAAGATACATAAAAGTTGACATAATACAATCATCCTATTCAATATTTAATTCTACAACCTTATTCAAGATTTAAACTATTTATAATTATATTAGTGTAGTTTAACATAACATTGATGACTATGATAAATATCCAAGTAAATATAGTTATTCATCTAAAAATACTAAATCCTATTCTTTTTCACACTTCGTCAAAATTCGTTGCCCTAAATTAAAATCTTGAAAAAGGGTTTCAATAACATCTATCTGTTAAGCTTCTTTACATTTTTTCACTATCAATTATAATAACAGTATTTTTGAATTTGTTAAATCTCTATCTAAAATTTCTTTAAGAAGAGGATATTTAGAAATATTTAAATTTTGTTCAGATTCTATCTAATTGCTTAGATTTATTATTTCATCATCCATTTAATCTTAACATTGCTGAATATCATTTTTTTATATGCTTTTTTTCCTACTTTACATAAAAAGTTCTTCCAATCTTTACTTTCTAATTTGTTATCTAAATTGTTCTTTTTTTTATGATAACATAAAATTATTAATATTATAATTCATTTATTCTATCCTTAATATTCTCAAAGTATTCTTTCAATTTTGAAGAATTTCTAACAAAAATTTAGATTAGTTAATATTAAAAAAATAAAATCATTTATAAATGGATTAGATTGAACCATAACCTATATTTGATGAAATTCCTTCTAAAATTGATATCAAAATATTACCAAAACATAAGCCTGAAAAATTTATAGAAGCAACCAATAATAAATTGATTGATCCTGTTTATGAAGATGGTCATGAAATTGGTTTTATGATCAAAGGAGAATAAACTCTTTATGAGTTAGACTATGAAGAAGGGTGAGTTTGACTTTGCTTGACAATAGATTTTTTGAACCTAATGGATGCTACTATTCTCGTGATTTTGTTCCAAAGGGATGGTGGGTATTAGATAAGGACTCATAAGAATATTTCTATGATATAGATGGAAAATTGGAAGGAGATGATGAAGAGGAAGAAAATATAAATGAATAATAGATATTATAATAATGATCAAACAATAATAACCTTTTTATTTTTTTTTTACTTCCACTTTATTTAGAAAAATATTTACATTATTGTTAATATTTATTATTAATTAGTGAGGTAAACTTGAAAATATAAGAAGTTAGATTATGATTTATAGTTGAAAGTAAATCTTAGGAATATATTTATTTTCTTTATATATCATAAACAAAAGCTACTCATTTTTTCATAGCATTAGCCATCCATTCCATACCTTCACTTAAACCCAAACCTGTTAAAGCACTACATTTAACTCTAAAGTTAAATATGAATAATTAATACATAGTCCAATTTCGTGATTTTTCATCTTCTAGTTTTAAGAATTCGCAAATTTCAGTTTCTGTCAACGCTCCTTACATATCCTGGAAATTTATAATTATAAATAAATTAAACTTGTTTATTTGCCAAAATCAATAATGGAACATTTTTAAGTTCTTCTTCTTATAATAAAGTCATCAATTCTTCTTTTGATGTTTTTAGTCTACCTTCATCAAAGGAGTCAATTACATAAATAATTCCATTAGTGTTTGGGTAGTAAGATCTCCAATATAATCTACACGTATAAATGGAATGAATACCTAATTGCATTCTGACCTCCCAAATCCCAAACTTAAAATTTTAGATTTTTATAAGTAAGTGTTTCTACATTAAAACCCATAGCTTAAAAATATTTAGTTTTATATACTTGGTGCAGTTTAAATTACTTCATTCAAATGCAATTTATCTTATAAATAGATTAATTATGAATACATAATATAGTTGTCTTTCCAGAGTTATCCAATCCTAAAATAAGAATACGCATTTCTTTCTGTCCAATAATTGAATTGAATATTTTAGAAAACACAAATCCCATTATTAATTTAATGAATTAACTCGATTTGGATAAATTGTTTTATCCAATTATGATGACCATAAGAAATCTTAGAACTTATTTCAAACAAGATGATGAAAATAATCGCATAATATTAGTATTGATTCCTAAATGATTAAGGACTGCCAAAATAAAGTCGAAGCTTTTGCGCTTTCTATTATGCATTTCTTACTTGACTTAATAGTGAATGGAATTGAGCATACATCAATATGTTTCAATAAAAATGTTCCGTTACTCTAAAGAGAATTAAAGAACAAAATTGAATGTGTACAACAATTTGTGTAAACTAATGATGTAGAAAACTTAAAAAAGAATATTTTGAAATATTATGAGTTAAAAGAAGGGTTTAGTGAATCCGAAAGTGAAGATGAAAGTGTTAGTTTGCAGATCAAATTGGTATGAGCTAGCTCCTCTTATAAGGCAGACTGGTAAAATGAAAGAGTTTAACCCTGAAATACAGTAACTTAGAGTTGAATTGAATCAAAAAGAAGCCACCATCCAAGCATTGATTTAGAAACTCAAGTATCGTTAGAATAGCATGGAGTTAATGGTTCATAATCATCATAAAGAAGTTTCTGTACTTAAAGCTTAGTTTCTTTTAAACCCATAAACTGATGATCCATCATCTATTTTTAATATTAAATATTTTGACTCGACATCAATGATAGATCCAGAAATAGCTGCTCTAATGAATGAAAAAATCAATGATATTAAAAATCAATATGAACGTTATGTTAAATAATTTATGGATAAATTTTAAAGATAAAGAGTATCTTAAAATAATGAAGATAATATTAAAAAACCATCTTTAGATGATTATACAGCTAAGGATTTATTAAAAATTGCACTTGATAGAGAAACTAATCCACATATTTTCTTTAAGTATATTTAAGATCTCAAATCTATTAATTATATTTTAGATATTTTATGTAATTAATAGAATCATTATGGAATTGATTATGAGAAAATTAATAATGCCTTTAAGACTAAAAATGAAGATTTGAAAAAAATGATGGAAGCCCGTATTATGATGGAAGATTGTTAGGCTTAAATAAGTGCATAATTTCTTATTGATCTAGAAAAAAAGAAAGAAGAAATTTTAGAATTAAATTTGATGATATCATAATAAGAAAATGAATATAAAGAATCATTAAAATTATTTTAAGATTTAATATCAAGTAATAATGATAATTAGAAGTAAAATGAGATTATTTTTAAACAATAATAAAAAATTGAGCAAATGAGATCTGAAAATCATAATCTTTCAACAATGATTTTGAATTAAAAATAACATTCTTATTAATTGAAATAATAAAATTAGTTTTTAATGACTAATTTAAAAAATATTTTAAATCTCTTACATAAGAAATAATTGTAAATTAATTTAGGATTAGATAAGTAGGATTTAATGAAAGACAAATCTGCTCCAATTAAAGAAATACTTAACAAATTAAATAATTTAGATGGATATGATTTATTTACTTTAATTTAAGAAATTAAACTACTACTTTATTAAATTGAATCTGTAAAAGCTGTGAATTAAATTTCATAAAGAGGAAAATTAAATAAATAAACTTAAACGATTTAAATAAATTAAGAATTTGAAGAAAAAAGAGAAGAATGGAGAATAAGAGAAAAAAAAGAATCAAAACCAATTATGAAACATTTAGAATAAATTAGATAAGAAACAATTAAAAAAAGTAGATAAAAAATTGCTTCTACTTAAACAGATATAACTAATGAGTATAAATCAACATAAAATTAAGAAAACATTGAAGATGAAAAATCAATAATATCAAATTAGAATCAATAAAAGTAAGGAACTTTGTCATTAAAAATGTTATTGAAATAGGCTAAATTTTCATCTGAATTAAATCATTAGAAAATAAGAGACTTAACTCCTGAACCTTCTTTTGATTAGTAAAGTTCAATTTTTGAGAAATTATATACTTAATAAAAGTAGTAAAATTCAAGATGGCATTAATTGAGACCTTTAATTGATAAACTTTCTGAAGAGGAATTCATTGAAGTTATCAATACTTTAGGTATATATTCATTTAGAAATAAATAATAATCATAAAATACAACAATGGAAATACCATAATATGATATAAGCAAAGTTTAATAATCAATGATTTATCAAGATATTAATAAACGAAGAAGAGATTCAAGTGTCGATTAAACAAAAAAGTATATTAATAATTATATAAAGTTTATTTATTGAATTAGATGAATAGAGAGAATAAGCATTAAAACTCTTTTAATAATAGAGAATAGATACTTATCGTAGAAGATTAAAAAGATTGGTTCCAGTTATACCTAGTTAATGTTTATAAGTTGAAGAGAAATTAAGACCAAAAAGTTAAATTAGAAGTAGTTATCAAAAGCCTGGTTACTGATTCATATATATAATATCATTTTTTCTATAAGAATTTAAGTAATTATGAAGTTTGGTTATTTTAGAGACGAGAATTTGAAATCTGTTTCTGTAAGGCTTATAAACTTTTACCAACTTAATCAAAACTTTGGCTAGATAATGTTTATTCTGGCTTTTACTTTTTATGTAGATAATAATACTCTAATTAATGGAGATTCTTTTTTTGTTGTTTTTGTATATTTATTAAGTTTCTCAGTACTTACAGATTATTATGATTATTCATTTATTTTTTCTGATTTTTAGAGTCTATGTCTTTTTTCACCTTTTGAATCTCTTTATCTTTATGTTTCAGTCAATTTAGGTTCTAGATTTCTTTATAAATATATTTATTTACTAAGTTTCATCATTTATTCTTTTATATCCTAATTCTCTTTTAGCAGAAAGTTATTTTCTTCCTTTTGAAAGAGAACGATCTTTTTCAGTATTACATATTTTTAATAATGCTTTAAAATTTGCTTCATTATTTGAGTTTTGTAAATTTTTTTAAGATTTATTAGAAACTAATTTACTTAACCTTTCAAAAGCAGAGGGTGTTTTTTTATGTAAAATCTCTTTTGGTGAACTATCTAACATTTTTTTATGTTGATCCTTATGATAATTTCACTTTTTTTACTTTAATGATTTATTCCATAGATTTTATTTTATCTGATTATTATTTTATAATACAATCTTTTTCATTAGTGATTTCATCTATTTTTTATATCAAAGCATCAATTTATAATTTCTATTATTATTCTATTCCTATATGATTTCTTATTGAAGCCTCAAGTTTTTGGATCATTGTTTCATAATCATTGTTTATTTGTTCTTCTAATTGTAATTCATAGATGTTTTTGACCCTTTGTATAATTTATAATATAATTACCTATTCAAATGAGCAACTACTTAAAGAATATAATCATATTATGACTTTTCTGATTACTCACAAATTTACTCTACATTTACTTAAATAATCTATTGACATGATTCAATTATATCCTAATTCAAAAAAGATGTATTACATCATCTATTATTTCTGTAATATCCAACAATAATTATTTTATAGTATTACTTTGCATATATATATATATATATTAATTAAATCAAAATTACAAACCAGATCTAGTTAAGTGAAAATTACTATATTAAGGAATTGAACCCTTTAATTATAATATAATCTTTTTAGTCCTTCTTTAATCAAGACTTACTTATTCATCTCTTTGTGTTTAAGAACATGAATAATCTTATTTAACAATAGATTATTAGAGTCTGCTTTTTTAAAAGCAAATTTATCTTTTCTTATTATCTTATTGTAGTAATTTAGTATCAATTGATTTCCTCAAAGGATAAGAAGTTTTTCTTTAAGAAAGAGAACGCTCATCTTAGTTTAAGAAAACATTTCCACTTAATATATTCTATTAAGATTTATTTGACATCAATTTATTAATCTTCTCATAACCTGATGGTGTTTTCTTCTAAGTATTCAAATCCAATTAAGAAAAATGATTTAGAAAATTATTTTATAAATTTCCTGTACTTTCTGTATGTTTTTCTTACAATTACAATTGTAATTTATGAATTTTATCGTCATATTATTTACCTTAAATTTCTTTCTCTTTTATTAGTTCCTCTATTTTACTATTTAGTAATTCAATCTGAAGATTCAGTTAATATTAGGTTCTTATATGCTTTCTTACAGAGGCTTCCAAATTTTAAATTACTGTTTCATAATCATTCTTAATATGCTCATTTAATTATTACTGCAATTATTAACGCATTTAATCTATTGATTTAAAGAGTTAAATTATATTAAATGATAAAGATGCATCATCTTAATTTACTATTTACGACTGATCAATATCATTATCGATTATACTCTCTAATTTATGTTTATTCATACATGGTCCATCTCTTAAATCAAATCAAAATATAATTATGCCAAAATTGAAGGTTTCTTACTCTTTTTATTCATTAATATAATATAAATTCTTAATTTATACTTATATTAAATTTCTATTAATATTTATTTGTTTAATAACTTCTTTTCATTCATCTAATGTTACAATCCCTCTTATTTGTAAACTATTTCATAATATGATAATGAAATCAAAAATTATATATAAGAGTTCAAACCTAAACAAAAATAGTATTGACTCACTAATGATTAAATTATTATCAAACAATAGATTCTTAATGTATGAACTCTTTTTATATCAAACACTTTAAGTTTTATCATTTATTTCAATTTAAATTAGCTTATATTTTATATAACAGAAAAATTAAAGAATGAAACTTATATATTAATTATTTTTGTTCTAAATTTCTAGAACAATGTTTTGAAAAGACACGATATAAATATATGGCTTTATATATGAATCTATAATTTTCATCCACTTTTAAAGAGGAGAATGGCAACTTATCCCATATAGAAATAAATGAAATGTTTTGTTTCATGTGTGACGTATGAACCGAAGTTTCTACCAACAATACAATGCCAAGTTGGATTATATTTTTTATCAAATTCCTTTTTGATGAATGCCTAATATTTAACATTTTTTCTATACAGCAATATCTTTTTCAATGTTGAACTTTTCCAAAGCCTAATTTGCACAATCTATTGCATCCTATTACATTTCTTCTGACATATCAGCATTTTTAACAACTGCTTTTCTATCAGCTTAAGCCATCTTTATTTTTTCTTATTATTTAAATTTATTAATAATAATTTTTCAATTCTCACTTCAGATTTATACAAACTGTAAATGATATTTCATTTTGTTCTTGAATTTAGTTTTTTGAACTGAGAGTTTCCCTCTTATTTTTATTCAATTTTTAGATTACATAATTTTATAATTTGAACTATTGTTTCTTTTAATATTAATTTTAGTTTCAATTTAATATTTAATCCTTGAAATTTTTCCAACATCATTTCTAGAATATTTTGATTCAAATTTCTTTATTTGAATTAAAAATTCATAAATTGTATAAATTTTGATAATATTTTCTACTAAATTTATTTTTTTCTCATATAATGATAAAAATTTTAGTGCATACTTTAAATTTTCTTCTAACTATATTTTGAAAATAGCTTAATTTTCGGTAGATATGATACAGCTATTCATTCATAAATACGTAGATAAATTAAAACTTCAATAAGTAATTCTTTTCTTTTTTGATTATATATTATTTTTTAACCTAAATATTTTATTCTTTTTTTTTTTATTTTTAATTATGTAATTAATGAATAATATTGTTGAATCTGAATTAAAAATTTTTGCTTGGAAATAAAAAATTCTTGATTTGCAATTTAAGATTATCTATCATAAAAAACATAGGATCTAAATATTTTTTTTATTTTTAATTAGATTTATTTTCATATAAGATTTATTTCATCATTTTTTATGTATTTTTAAAACATTGAAATGATTTTTGTATTATAAAATAACTATTTTTTGAAAGATCTATAATTAAGTTGATTAACATCAATTTTATTTTATTAAAGGCGCAAAAGAATTACTATTTGAAAATAATAATAATTAATTAGTTAGTAAATTTAAGTAAATCAGAGGAACTAATAAAATCGTTTATTCTTTTAATAATAGAAAATTGTTTTATTAAAGGTAAATTGAATTAACTAGGATATCAATTATATAAAAATTTTAAAACAATAATCTTTTTATATCTTATAGGATATTTACAATAAGATATAAATTTAATCTTAAATATAAATGTTTAATAATAAATTAATCAATATGGTCTTGGTACGTTAGTCTATTCTTAATATTATTTAGTTTTAGGTTTAAGTTCAGAAGTTTTGAATTCAATTATACTACTTGCTTCACTAATAGGCATCAATTATTATTGTTGAATTAAAGATTTGTTAAGATATATAATGTAAGAATGAGTCATTAATTTTTCATCAGGTATTTCTCTTGATTTTATATAGTGTTTATTTGTAATATGGTTGGAAAACAGCTAACATTCTTTAAATTGATCGAAATTAATGTCGCATTTCTTTCCAAAGAGAGCAAAAGTAAGCAAATCAAAATCAAAGTTGTTAAATTAGACTTTTGTACTTTTCATATAATTTAATAGGCTAGTGCAATTTATTATATTATTTTGATCACTAAGGTTTTAAAAGATCTAAAAATAAAATTATGTTTAGTACTTTAAATATATTGAATTCTTCATTGTTAATTATTTAGAATTGGTTATCTTTAATTTGTTTAATCACCCTTATTTATTAATTGAGCAGTTTTAAAAGCTATACTTAAAGATCTTTATTTGTATGATCAATGATAGTGTTTTATTTATGAAGTAAAAGTTTCGTTAAGTAATTCTAACCTTTTTAAAAATTAACAATTACATAAAATTATTATTTACTGATAGTAAATCTGTCTTTATCACCTACAAACCAGATAAATTCAATAATATCTTTATAATTGATAGGATGAAGATTCTAAACAAAAAAGTTTAACAAAGTATTCTTAGTGATAGTATCTTCATTGTTTGATAGTAACTCAAAAGATCTATATATATTGTCCATATTATTGGAATAGAGAGTTTATTTGATCGTTTATAATTTCTGTTCATAATAAGAAATCATTTTCAGATAAAGTGCAATTTATTAGTCCATGATTAATTTAAATATATAAATTCATATGATCAATTCTTATTATTGTTATTAAGAATGTTCAGTATCATTAGATTTTATATCTGATATGCATTTATCACTAGATAATGATTATTCTAATTTATCAAATTTGTTTAATCTCAATCTTAAGTTTAAAATTTTATCACTTAATTTTAATTATTCTTCTTTTGTATCTTAAATCTTTTTTATCAATTCTTACTTCTCTAAAATACAAGTTCTAGTTATCTCTTATATCTAAAATGTCAATTATTCTATTTTTTTTGTATATTCATCAATTAATAAAGTTTTTTCTTATAAAATTTCATCTGGTGTCTTTTATATAATTGCCACAGCATTAGGTTTTTGTTTATTTCTTTAAGCTTTAGGCATTTCATTAAAATCAAGATTTGGTTATTTTTATCTTATTTTTTATTCAGTCTTTTTATAATATTCATCAAAAAGTTATATTTTTCTCCTCAATTATTATTTTTAAGCATTCAATTTCAAACTTAATCCTTATTAAACTTCCAATTCAAAATATTACACTTTATTTAAATTATGTTACTGTATTGTTTCCTATTTCAATTACTATTTCTTTTCTTGTAACAATTTTATTTAATCCTAACTTAGATGCTCTTTTTCACCTTGACGCACTAATTAAAGACAATATTCTTTAATTAGATCTTCAACATAATCATTCATTTAATCTCCTTCCTTTTTATAAAGTTCGATTTTTTTTTCTACCTAAGAATATTCATTTATCTTTTCTTATAAAAAGTCTTATAACATTTTTATTTACTATGCTATATGTATCAATTATAAATACATCTTTTCTTCCTAAAGGTTACAAAACTTATTTATTGTTTTAATCGGATATAATTGATTCTAATGATTTCAATTTGGCTGTGTTAAGTCTTTTATAATCTATTCTACTAGAACCCAAACCAGTAGTTTTATTTGCTTATTAATCACTTTTCATTGATTTTAATTGCATTACTTTTTTAATATAATTTATATATTAAAAATTACTATTTGATCTCAAAATTAAAATTCATTTATAGTATTTTAATATTTTTGATATAATTAATTAGTAATCTCATTATTTTAGTTACATCTTCAACATTCTATTTTCTTCTTTAATCATGTTACAGCTTGCTTATTCTATGTTTAATAATTATAGATTTGTTTTAAGTTGATATTGACGGAATTCAAATTCTTATTCACATGACTATTATATTTGTTTTAGTTTTTACATTCAAATATTAACAATAAAATTTTACTTTTTCACTCATAGATCCTTCATTTAAAGTTTAAGAATTGCAAAATCTTTTTACATTTATGCCATTAAAAAACTCTTCCAGTAATTTCATCTCCTTTAAAAGAGCTTAATAATCTTTTTCCTTCTTTTCTAATTACTCTCTAAGTTAATTAGTAATATTTAGATCTTTTCTCATCTTCTAATCTAATGAATAAATTAATTTTTCTTCGTATTTTTTTTACATTATTTCTTTCTCATCTAATAATTATTTATAACATCTTTGAAGTGCTGATAATTCAGTATTTAATTTTTAATTTGCTTTTTATAAAAATTATACGTTATCAGATAATTTCTTTTATTTTATTTCATCCATTTCATTTTGAATATTCATTTACAATTATTAAATTGTTTATTAAAGTTCATTTTTTGTATTAGATAATTCTATTTTAGCAGTACGAAGTCTTAATATAATTAGAATAAAATAAATACTTATCAATTTCTTCCAAAGATTTTGCCCTTTATGTTTGTTCTAATTTCAATTCTGATTTTAGTCTAAGAATTTCATTTTCCTTCATAATCAACTTTTAATTAATAATATCAAAACTATCTAAGAATTTACCTAATTTATCTTTCTAATAAACAAATTCATCTTTTAATTACATATATTTTTAGACTGCTTCTTAATTTACTTTATTTTTTTCTAATTCTATCTTTAAAACTTCATTCTATTGAGAAAAATCATTCAAACATGATTAAGCTTCATGATATAAATTTACATAATTCTCTTTTTCTTTATTTAACTAAATGGTTACTTAAATCTAATTTTATATTTTGTTTTCAATATTCTCTATTTTTTATTTAACTGCCATTGAAATTGTCTCATAGGTAGGATCAGATTATTCAAGTTCCATTAATTAATTAAATTCTTATAAGAAATCAAGTTATCTTAATTCTAAACTCTAATAATTTTCTTTTTCTTTTCTAAGAATTTTCTAAGTCTTTAAAATTTTTTTTGATTTAACATAATTTATGTTTTTAAATTTCCTTAACTCTTTGATTTAATCGTCAATTAGATTTTCTCTATCTTTAGATTATTCTTTTAAAGAATTAAAACTTGTTTGAAGTACTTATAAATCAGTTTTGATTTATTCAATTTCTAATTACAATCTAGAGACTTCTTCACTTTAAAATTCAATAGTTTAAGCATCTGTATCCATTTGATCTTTATTTAATTATAATTAATCATTTAATTCTGCAATCTTATTTTCTAATTCCAAAACTTATTATGACTTATCCTCTTAAAAAGTATCTAATTGATTTTCATAATTTTAAATAAGTGATTATTGATTGTCCATTTCAGCCATAAGTAAATCTTTATCTTTATGTAATTCTTATAGAGTTTATTCTAACTAAGCAATAATTAATTGTTGTTCATTTCTTCTATGTTTTAAGATTGTGTCCTCTTATGATAATTCTAATATTCTTTGATTTAAGATTTCATTTTTATGTCGTAATTCTTTTTGTATTTCAATAGCTTATTAAAGTTAATAATCCCTATTAGAATGATTTAGATTATTAGATTCCGTATTTAGTTCATTATGTTCTTATAATTGAATAATTCTAGATTCATAATAGTCTTTCATTTATTTTAATTCTTTACTCAATTATTCTTAGAAAAGTTCGCTTTCATTGAGTTGACAATTAAGATTTGAGATTTATGAAATTAATTCGATTTCTTTTTATTTTTTTGGAAATAATTCAGGATTGGAAGTTTACTATTGAAGTTCATTTTTTAATCTTTTGATTTCAGCTTTAAGACTCTCTAAATTTCCTTTAACTTCTTCATTAATAATAGCTTAATTTTTAATATTCTTAGCTCTGGATGCAAATTTTAATGTTCCTAAAGTTTCTTAAAATGAACTACTTGCTTCAGAGATTGTAGCAATCATAAAAGTTTTAGAATTGCCTCCTAAACTTTCTCTTAGTAAAAATGTTAACTTACTATCTCTATATGGAATAAATCTTTTTGGATTTTCAGCAAGAGAATTAATAACTAATCCTAAAACAGTTAATGATTTGTTAATATTAGCAGCTTCTTTAAGTCTTTCACCAGTTGCAGCTGTTAATTTTTATCTTTCACTACCTGCTAAATCAACAAAATTTAATTTGCTTCTTCTAGTATACATTTCTTTAGTTCTTTATTCAAATTAGATTGTAAAAATTGAATGACTTCTAGAACTTTCAAGATTCATTTAAGTTGCTGAAACATGTCTATTATTAATTCCTCTTTATAATAAGGATAAAACATCATTATAAGATGTAACTGGAATTTCAGTGAGATTCTCAACATAAACTTTTTTTGATTCTTCTCTAATAGTTAAAGGCAATGGTTTAGAATCATTTAATAAATCTATTAATTATTCATTATAAATTTCTAAGTAGGTACATTTTAATGACCAAGTATTATCTTTAGGTAATTAAGAAAATAGTTTTTAAATTAATCTAGGTTGTAATCCTAAATGAATATCATCATTCGATAAATCATCAATTCCTTTTCCTTACATTGTATATGTTTTTCCTGCTCCTGTTTAACCATAAGCAAATATGCAACAATTTAATCCATTTAAGAAAGATTCAAGTGTAGACATACCAATTTTATTAAACACTTATTCTTAAGTTGAATCTATTCCCAATACATGATCATAATTGTATTCCTTCTTATTATCAAGAATAACAGAAGTATTTGTAGTAGTCACACAAGAATTGGCACCTAAATGAGTTTCTCTGTAATTAAGTGGTCTTACTCTTACTAACACTCTTATATTTTCCATTATTGAATATTAATGTAATTTAAATTATTTTAACGAATTAATTTAAACTTAATATGCAATAATATGAAGGATTGATAGAAGAAAACACATAATTAAAGAAAGCCATAATCTCTTCGAAGGCTGTTATAAGTAGAAAGATAAGTAATTTATATTCATTAACATTTTAGATGAATATGAGACTTTGTAGGCAATTAATGAGGAACTTAAATTGAATCTAGATAAAATGAGACTAGAGAATTAAGATTTATTGTAAAAGTATAAAATTGCCATTCATGATAAAAAATAAACAGAATAACAATTTGATAATGCTTCAAAGAATTGGAAACTTTTGATTGAATAAAAATAAAGAGAAATAGAAGAAATATAAAGCAGATTAACACCTGCATTTGATTAAGATATGATGAGAATTAAATTATTAAATGAATTAGATTTACCTCATAGATAATAATTAGAACAAAAATAATTAGAAATTGAAAAATTAAATGAAATTATCTATTAATTGAAAAGAAAGATTGATTTAGAGTTATCAAGAGTAGAAACTATACAAATTGATAAAGATAAAGAAATTAAATTAATATCAGAAAAACACAAATTGGATTTAGCAGATCTTTAACATCAAATTGAAGAGCTAACTAGATAAGTAGAAGATAATAAAGATAGAGATACTATTAGAAGATTAAGAAAAGATTTAGAAGAATATAAATTAAAATTTAATGCTACAGATACTGAAAATGAAGAATTAAGAAATGAAAGAGATAAAATTAGAGAAGAGAAAAATGATATCATGATTAAATTTGCTAGATAATTAGATTAGGAAAGAAATGATAAAAGATAATTCAAGAGTGATTTTGATAAATTATAAGTACGAACTAGATTTTTAGAAGATGAATATAGAAAAGAAAAATAGAGAAGAGAATAAGTGGCTACTGATTTTGAAATTTTAAAAACAGATAAAGATTAATTATTAACAGATTTGAGAAAAAAAGATGATACTATTCATTATCTTTAAAGAAAAATAACTGATATGGAAGAAGAATAATTAGAATAAGAATAAAAAGTTTAAGATAAATTAACTCGTCTTTATTAAGATGAACATGATAAGTATTTATAAGAGAGAAATAAAGCAGTTACTTTATAAAAGGATGTAGATAATTTAAAAAAAAGATATAGTGATCTTCAAGATGATTATAAAGTATTGAGAGATAGATATTAGAAAGAAAATATAGATAATAAAGATTCTACAAGAGTACAGAATGAAGAAATTGAGAAATTAAAAAAGACACTTTCTTAATAAACAAAAGAATTAGGTGATTTGGAGAGATCAAATAAAAATAAAGAAGAACAAATTCATGATATAGAGAATGAAAATGAAACATTAAAAAGAAGAAATAGAGAACTTTAACATAGAATTTAGTTAATTGAAATAAATCCAATTTAAGGTCCTATTTAAACTTAACCTATAATTAATTAATCTTAAATTCCAACAATTAGTTAAGTGCCATAATTTGTTTAATAAAGTTAAGAACAATATGAAACAACTAAACAAAATAAAGTTTAAAATGTAATATAATCAGAGAATGACCCATAAAATTAATAATAATTTTAAGCATAAAAATAATCTCTATAATAAATTACTGAAGAAAATAGAACATTAATATAAAAGAATAAAAAACTAAATAAAAAACTTAAATAAGCAAATGAAAAAATTCTTGAACTTTCAATGAAAAATACAATTTTAGAAAAATAATTATAAAGATAACATTCATAAAAATCTCAATAAGATTTTGATAGATCTAACATTGGTATGCATGCTCATTCTTAATCTCCATTTAAATAAGAGCATTATTAGTAATAGGGAAATGATACAGGTGGATAATAATAAAGTGTACATACAGATACACGATTAGATAGATATGAAAAATAAGAAAAATAAGAGAGATAAACTCGTTAAGATAGATTTACACCATAATCTTAAAGACCAAGAGGTCAATCTGGTTTAGATGCTCGTGGAAACTTAGGTTAGTAAATGGATATAAAAGATGATGAATTATTGAATAAAGTAATGATGTTGACAGATGCTTCAGGATAAAATAAATATTGGTGATATTTTTTATTATTTTTTAATTTAATATATAAATATTCAATAATAAATATTTTTAATAATTTATGATTTCAAGAATCTTCCCTTTCCCATTTAGAAACTACTTATAAGAGATTTTCCATTTTTTATTTTTCATATTCTTCTAATGGCATATTTTCAAATTCTTTTGGTACTTTAGCATCTGGAAAATTAGATGCTTTAACTCCAGCTAAAAATCATATAATATATACATTTAGTTAAATTAGGGCTTAATTTAAGTAGTGTAATTCCACCATGAGTATCACCAACTAAAATAATAGGATCTCTTTAATTAAATGCAATATTTGTTAATCTTGGTTATTTAGAAGGTTTTTATTCAGCAAGTTTACCAATTTTATCAACATTTAGATCATAAACAAATATTTTATCTTATGTTGCACAAGCAAAAACTAAAAATAAAATATTTAAATAATACCTGTAGAACTATAAGGTGCCCACATAGCATCTACAACTTACATTCCTTATTCAAAACTCATAATTTAGGAAGAAATTTTAGAATCCCAAATTTTAACAGTCCAATCGGCTGATGCAGAAATAAATGTTCGAGGATGAAAATTATTCCATTTAACTTTATAAACTGCCAAATTATGACCCTATTAATAATAATAATTAAATTAATACAATATATGTTTCTTAATATTATCCTGAATATGCTCTTGAACATTTGTGTATTTTACCTTCTTCAGTACCAACTAAAAAAATATGAGGTTCAAATTTATTAAAATCAAAACATAAACCACAAGCTAAACCAATCAAAGTACTTTCTTCTTCATTTTTACCAACTAATCTTAATCGAATAACTTCTTCTGGTTCTAATTTATTTTTCATTAAAACCCAATTCATAACTCTTCCATCTGATGATATTGAATAGAAATTATAATTTTTAGAAATATCTGGATTCCATCTAACTTACCATACTGGATCTGTATGTTTTTAAGTTCTTACTGTAGATTAATAAATAGGTTTTTTATGTTTATTTCTAATATCGTAAACAAGTACAGTTCCATCATATAATCCTACAGCTAATAATGCTGGACTTTAAGGATGGAAATCTAAACACATAACTCCAGCTTCACATGTAAATGCATATTCTGGATGTGTTGTATTTTTGAGAGAATATAAACAAATCAATCCCATTCTTTATTTAGAAAATTCGTAACTACCAAAACTAACAGCAAATAAATCCATGTATCTAGGATTCCAAGACAAAGATGTTACATGTTTTTTCTTTTGTTTCTCATTTGAAAATTTCCATATAGGTAATAGATGTCTAATTATTTTAATTAATCTACCCTTCATTTTTGGATGTCTCAACAACTTCTCCTTGACTCCAATAATATTTATAATCATTGTATTTTTCCTTCTAGTCATTATGTACAACTGTTCTTTCCATAATTTTTAAACATCTCTTAAATGATGGTTTATAAACTGTATTATCAGATGTATGATCTTTTTTCTTTTAACTTTCTTCTTTAGCTTTATTTTATATATATGCATCAAATATTTCCCATTAAGTAATCTATCCTTTTAATGTATCACTTGGAGGAGGCTCTGTTGATACACCTCTTTCTCTTATTACTCTTCCATCTGTTTAGGCTTCTCTTGCATTATAATTAAATTTATTTCTCATTGTTTATTTTATTGCCTCAATATCCTTTGATGCCCCAGGATCTTCCATCTCTTAATTTCTCTCTGCTTCTTTAATCAATGCTTCCTTTGTTTCCCATAATTCTTCCTATATTCTAGCTTCATTTGAATCTTTATGAATTATTTCTCCATCCATTCTAAAGTGAATTATCAATTATTCAACCAATTCGTCTGTTTTATACTATCTTTATTATTGGTAGTTACTTTTCTTTATAAATAATCATATTAAGTTATATTCTTTGGAGCTTAAGGATTATTAGGTATCAACATTTTAGATGGCATATCCTCATTCAATTCCTTCTCTGTCAATTAAGGTCTCTCCTTTTCTCTCTATTAATATTTTATTATTTCTAAACTTCATGTTAATATTCTGATTCATCACCATCTGGCTCAGCTTCCTATTAATTTAAATTCTAATTAGATATTTTCGGTTGCTTTTTCTATCATTTATTTTTTATAACTTACAGGTTATGGTCTCCTTAATGTTCTATTTTATTATTTAGGTGGCATTTTTTATTATTAAATATACTTTATTAAAAAATAAATGTATTTATAAAACAATTAAATATTATTTACAATTTCACTTCTATCTTTAATGTCTTTCTTTTTTCAATCACTAAAAGTTATCCTTTATCTCTATACATTTACTTAAATTTAAAATATTCTTTTTTTATATCATACAACAATTTAGATATTGCAATTTAAATATTTTATTAGAATCTAAATATATAAACAAAAATAGGGTTTTATAATCTCATTTTCTATTTATTAAATGAAGTATTTATTTGAATTTATCCTTAATCTCTTCATTTTCAATCTCTTAAGTTTCTCTCTTAAAGTTCTCATAGAAATTTCTATTTATTTTACCTCTCTCATTTAAAATCTAATTTATCTATATATTAAAGTACTTTAACACTGATCAAAAATTGATTTATGAATTTCTTGTCTAAAAATTTAAGATTAATCATTGTTGACATATTTGGTATCAAATACATTATAACATTTATATCTATGCTTAATTTTAGAGCTTCATAAGACTATGTCAATTATCTAGAATAATTTCCTGACATTATTCCCTTTTTGAATAACACACTTGTCATCATGCATAAATCTTGAATATTTGCAGACTTATATTCCTCACAATATAATTCCATACACTTTTCAACTAAATCTTTTGTTGCAGTATTTTATAATGCATGTAATCCAACAATCATTGATTACAAATTTAATCTCTTTTAATGAACACTATCTTCAAAACAATTATAAATTGATCTAATTACTTCATGCTTAGTAGGAGATTCTATATCAGATTTAGATATAGTATGAATAATTTATGCTTCAACTCTTCCAAAATAATTGAATTTAATTTTACTTAACAATTCATAAAGAAAATCATGCATATCATAAATTTCTAATTTTTAATAAGCTACTAACGTCTCCATTATTATTTATTGATCGTCGCAATCTGATATTTTTAATTATATTATTGGCATTAAAGTTTTTAATGTTAATTAAGCAGCATTATATGCTATGAGTTTTTCTGTTTTAAGATCCATTTAAATATTTTTTCTTGCAATTTTAGCAATTGAATATGTACAATTAGAGAGTGCTTTGATATTCATTTCAGATGATTTTTTGATAAGTAAATCACAAGCTTTACTTATATATAATTCTGGATCTTAAGTATAAGTGATATTAGCCATCAATGCAGGAAGACTTTCATGGTCTGATTCAGATAAATTATCAAGAATATGAAAAATTAAGTTTTATCTTGATCTTAAAATAGCTCTATTATGTACTTTACGAACATAAGTGAGTAAATTATTAACAAATTTAGCTGATTAACTTGAATGAATAGTCTAAATAAATTTGATTGAATACTTGAAGATGATCAAAAGCTATAAGTGATTCATCCATAGAGATATTCATCTTTTTAAAATTAGCATAAGATGGAACAATTGATGTAAGTTTATGAATTCTTTCAATCTATTTAGTGGATTGACTAAAGTAGAAGAATATTTTAATCATGAATTATAATTATAACTAATTAAATAAATAATATATATATTAAATTATATTAAAAGATGGCTAGAAATGCAGAAAAAGCAAAAGCAATGCTTTCAAGATGGTACAGATTGAAAAGGGATATACGTAATACTACAGATGGAAAATATAAGTCAATTCCAAAAGTGTCAGAATGTGTTAATCTTTAAGAATGTGAATTAGAAAGATAGGAAGTCTTAAAAGTAGTATCAAAATTGGTGTCAGATATTTAAAATGCAGGTTTAGGAGAACATAGAATAAGAGAATTAAATGATGAAATTAATAAAGTGATATAAGAATTAAGATAATGGGAAGATAGAATTAAAGAATTAGGAGGACCTGATTATAGAAGATTAAGTGCTAAGATATATGATACTCAAGGAATTGAATTAATAGGCAAAGAAGGATATAGATATTTTGGAGCTGCAAAAGATTTACCTGGAGTTCGTGAACTATTTTTCTCAGAACCACCTGCAGAACCTAAAAAATCAAGAACTGAACTTTATAAGGTATTCTTTTTCATTTTAAACATTTTTTAGAATATTTCATATAATTATTATGGAAGTTAGAATTAAGAATTATTAGAAATTCTCGAAGAAGAAAGAGAATTAGAAAGGAAAGCTTAAGAATAAGAGTTATAAAGATTTATTCAAGATAATCAAGAATTAGTTAAAGATTTCAATACCAAAGAAGAAATTATGCATTTTATCAAATTTGAAATTGATAAAAGAGATGATGTATTAAAGAGAATGGAAGAAGAAAAATGTAATATTACTATTTTCTAATTAATTTAGAATAACATTCAGATTCTGAAGAATATGAATAAGATTAATTAGAACAAAGAAAATAGGAATTGATAAAATAATATTATGCACCTGAAAAAATTCATTCATAATATGTTACTACAGTTGAAAAAGATGCTGATCTTGAGTCTTTTATTAGAGGTAATATGATAAAATGATTGTTAGCAATTATATGCATAATTTTTATATTTATTTATCTAATTTCATCAATTTTTAATTTCATCCTTTTATTTCATCTTCAACAATAAAAAGCATTCAAATATTGGAATTCTTTTTATTTTCCCTTTGATTATTGTCTAATATAAATCAATTTTATTATTAATGAAAGTTCAATTTAAGGGTTTAATTTATTTCAATAACATTAATAGATTTTTGATAATAATAAAAGTTAATTATTTAATTTTTTTATATATCACAACAAAGTTTAATTCAAATTTAAGTTTAATCTAATATTTTCAACCTTTAGTACCCTATAGTTTCTTAAATAATAAATTAAACTGTTTATGTAAATTATTTCTTTGAAAATCTCTAAATTCGCATTTAATTCCTTTGAGAAAATAGAATGCTATAAATTTCCATTGATAATGAAAAAAATAATTTATAATGTTTGTTATTAATTTATGTCTAAGTAAGTTAATCAATTTCATTTTCAAGTTGTATTTTTATATAGTCAAAATAAAAGTGAGAGTAAAATTTGGTATTCTTACTAAGCTAATTTAACCAAATGTAAACTTATTTTATGAATCTAGATAATTAAAAAAATTAAGACTGAAAACCTTTTTAAATTACATAAGCTAGATTGATTCATCTTAATAAGATATCTGAATTTTCCAAGTAGTATTTAATAAGAATTATTTAAAATTTAATTATTTTAGAAATTCTTGCATTTAAAAAATTAATCTGTCATAAACAATAAGTGAATTATCAATAACTTTATTGATTAATCGATATAATAAAAGTGATAGTATATTTTAGTAATGTTTGAGAGTCTTAAATTTAATTTAATAAAATATAATTATAATTCAAATCATACTTACTGCAAACACACTACAAATGCAATGAAGAGTATTTTTTTATTGTTCTTATTTTGCTTGTTTATCTTTTGGCCAAGATATAATAATTTATCCATCAGCTACAGTGTCCCACCATTAAGAAGTTGTAACAAATGCTCCAGCTCCATTTCTTTACATTATCATACAGTGAACAATATATCTTAAATAATTAAACTTATAATTACTTGTAAGGTTTTCCCAATTCAATTAATTATTGTGTAACTTTTTCACATATTGCATTAATCCAACCTTGAACCTGATTTTAAATCATAATGTATTTACTTTTGATTCATCATATTGAACTTCTTTTAAAACGCTTTCAATAGATTCTTAAGTAATACGATCAACTTCTTCTTATGAATAGGTATTTTCTTCTAAATTTTGATTTTCTTCCATTAATTTTAATAATGAAACAATAACTAAATTACACCCTTTGGATTAGTTTTTTGTTTTCAACTATTTTAATATATCTATTTTTCAGTTCAGGGGAATTTAGTTTTATATTAACACTTGCTTGTGGAATATAATGTTTTGGATTTGGATTAGTATTTGTGACAATTTCAATTACAAAAGAAACAAGTGGATTAAGTAAATCAACATTTATTTGTTGTGCATAAGCATTGTTAGCAAGATTGTTTTCAATTCTAACATTTGAAGTAAATAGTTGATGAATAAATAGGGTTATTTACCTTCAGATGCAACAGGTGATTATGTATATCGATTATTCGAAATTTTATCACTTATTTTTTGCATTTTAACAGCATTCAGCATAAAAAATAATAAATAAGAATTATTTTAATGGTATTACTTTACTCCTGTGATGTTGATAATTGCATATTATATACATCCAGGATTGAATTCACATTCCTTTTGTGATATATCATGGGTGTTTGCTTTATATATGGAATCATTTGCAATATTACCATAGATACACCTTTTTACAAAGAGAGGTTAGAATTCAACAATAATATAGAGGGAATAATTGAATATCACACATCTAATTTTGTAATTACATAAGCTCTAAATAAAATAATATGTGTGATATTTTGGTTTTATTCTTACGAAGAACTTAATAGAAGTGCTGATGAATCAACCATAAGTGTGGCTCCATGGTTAAGTGGATATTTTGTGATGGTAGCTTAAATGATTTCTATTGTAATCATATATTTATAGTTAGATCATTACAGCAGATTTTGTATATAAATATTTACAAAGTTGGAAATAAGGTATTCCTTTGGTTATGTTGCCTTCATGATTATTATTATTATGATGATGTAGAAAATAATAAAATATTATTATAATATATCATCATTTTGCAAGCATCAATTATTGACACTATTATCTTTTATTATTTAATTTATCCTATCCAATAGATTCCATATCAAATAACTTTGGTTATAAACATGGCTTCCCAATCACTTATTATATTTATTTTTGAACTCCTTTTTTCACTCTCAAAATTGGAGGTTCCGATTATTATCTTGGTTATATTTTTACACTAGATAATTTGCTTACTTTCGCACTAACTTATTCATCTTCACCATGAACATTAATGCTTTCAGGTCTTGGCATATTTTAAAGTTTTGGTAAATTATTTGCAGGAGTATTAGGTTTAAATGGAGCTCTTACTATATTAGTTTTTGTCTATATTTATTATTAAGGTGTTTAAGTCTCTTTTAAATCTTTCTTTTAATTTCTCTTAATATCTATATAAATTTTATTATATTATACTTGTCCCTGTCCAACTATCTTATAATGATGATGCAAATTCTATGTATTTGTCATATTTTTAACCATCTTCCAAAGGATATATCTTAACATAATCTCCTAAATGTGCATTCTCATATTCATCTCTCTATTTCTCCCATTATTTCATTTGAGATACCTTCTCTTCCAATGTCAATTTCACCTTCTTACCTGTCAATACTCTTTATTATAAAGATTCCTTTCTTGATGCTATTATTTATTCTTTTGCTTTCAAACTAACATTCATTAATTTCAATGTATCTCTTATCAAATTTTTCTTTATCAAACAATCAAGAGGAGTATCTGTTGTAAAACTTGGAGTATGATTTACTTCCAATAATATAGGTTACATTTTATGATTCAAAAATATATCAAAACCCAATATTTCAAAACACATATTATTTGCATAATTATCAGGTTAACAAGATCTATAATGATGACTCAATATTGGTTAAACTGTACAAAAAGTTTTTATAAATAATTCATACATCTCTTACCAAAGTTTCTTTATATCATGTCCTTCTTATTCTAATTTACTAAATACAGCCTTAATAGATCTCTTATGTCCAATATCCATTCTACTAGCATCTTTATTAAATACAAAATTTGGATTCTCTTTATTAATAGCATAATTAGTTAGATGCATACACATATCTTCTAAATTTGATGAATTAGGAGGAACATATAGTTCAGTGGCAAATCTAACTAAACCATCTTAGTAAACATATATTCTCATGGGATCAGTTCCAGCCAGTAAGACATAAACTCTGAGATCAAATTTTAATCCTTCAATTAAAAAAGGTCTATGCATATATCTCTAAGCAACATAATGATCATTTGGATTAATATCATTAATATTACGAGTGAGGAATATACCTCTTCCTTGACAACTTGCTTCTGGTTTAACTATAAAAGTTCTAGCTTTTCCTTTAACAAATTAGTTTTTAAAGTCTCCATATTCAGCAGGTAATAACCATGTTTATGGAAAGAACTTATATTCTTCTGAGAATTGTTTACGCATCTTCATTAGATTTCTTCCTAGATGATTCTTTCGAGCAAGTGAATACATTCCAGGGAAATGATTAATTTTTTGGTATGCTATGAGATTTATTTATAAAAATACGTTGCATTTTTCCGAGAGTCTCAGGTTAAACAGCAGCATCTGTCCAAAACATATCCCAATTGTTTGTATCAAGGTCATATTATAGAATCCATTTAAATAACTTTTTACCAACAAACTTCACAACATCATATTAAGTATCTAAAATGATAGGAACAACTTAAAAACCTGATACATTCATTATTAATGTTGTCTTCTTCTTTGGATTGTCTTCATTTTCACTTCCACTATCTTCAAATTCACCATTAAAGTGTGGTTCTTTTGCTTATTATTATTTCATATTAATATAAATGGACTTATATCATTATCTCTTTAAATTCATAATTGTAGGAGATACAAGTAATTTTGATAATTTTTAAATAAATAAGGTGTTGGTAAGAGTTGTTTATTATTGAAATACACAGAAGGTAAATTTAAAGAAGAACATGATGCAACAATTGGAGTAGAATTTGGATCTTAAGGATTCAAATATAAGAATAGATAATTTAAAATATAAATTTGGGATACTGTACAATATTGAATTAAATATAAGGCTGGTTAAGAATCATTTAGATCTATTACTCGTTCTTATTATAAAGGGTTTATTAAATAAGTTTATTTATTAGTTCAATAGGTGTTTTACTTGTTTTTGATATTACAAGTAGATAATCGTATCATAATATTGTGAGATGGTATAATGAAATATTAGATTGTGCTCATGAAACTGTAGATATAGTAATTGTTGGTAATAAAGTAGATTTAGAGAATTAGTAAATAATTTATATAAATAGACGCTAAGTTTCAATAGATGAAGGGAAATAATTTGCAGAATAATATAAAAGAAATTATATTGAAACATCAGCTAAAACAGGATAATTTGTTGATTAAGTATTTTAATAAATGGCTATGAGAATATATGATAAAATAGAAAATAAATTAATAGATTAAAATAATGAAAATTTAGGTATTAAATTAGGCACATTTTACAGAAATGATGAATAAGATGATGATTTAGAGTTGTAAACAAGTTTAGGATAGAAAAAGAAAAAAAAGAATGATGATTGTTGTTGAATCTAAATTAAATTATACAATTTTCTCATTTTAAACGATTACATGCATCTTAAATAGTTTCTGTTGTCTTACAAAATGCCCATCTTACAAATCTTGAACCTAATTCTTTATTTTCGAAATAAGGAGAACAAGGAATACAAACTACTCCAATTTCATTAGCCATATAATATGCAAATGCAAAATCTTTTGTAAGTTAATGACCATCTTAATCATCTTTATAATATTTTTCTGGTATTTCTACATTACTAATATCAGTAACTAAAAAATATCCTCCTTAAGGAACCCAACAATGTAAATTTAATCTACTTTCTAGTAAACCTTTTAATAACATAGTTGATTATTCTTCATATAAATCTCTAATTTCTGTAAAGTATTAACCATCCATAGTTTATTCTAAACATTTTGCAGTAGCTGTTTATAATACTGGATTTAAACAAAAATTATGATATGTTTATGCAGATTTTATACCTTTAATATATTTCTCATCTCCTACAGCAAATCCTACTCTTAATCCTGTTGCTGAAAACATTTTACCTGCACTTGTTACACAAACAGTCTTAGATTTTAATTTTGGATGACTAATACATCTAGGATATTTAAAAGGTTAATAACCACCAAAAACAACATGATGGTATGCAGCATCTTCACATACAATTATTTATGGATGTTTTTCTAATATTTCAGCTAATCTATCTAATTCTTCATTTGAAAATACTCTATAATTATATATAATGATTACTTTCCAATTGGATTTTATGGTGAATTTATTATTATCATTTTAGTTTTTTAATTTATTTTCTATTCAAGATAATCATAATCAACTATCCATTCATCCTCTTTTGAAAAGTGTATTTTACCATTTTCGAATCTTTTCAATATACTTTCTTTACTATTTAATTAAGCAGGTCTTAATGGAATTCCAACATGTTTAGCTCCTTAAAATTCAATTAATGGTCTATAAAAATCTTTTATATATATATATTGTTTATTATACCAAAAGCAGGGTCTAAACAAATTACTTCATCATTAGGATTTAATAATGCTTAAAACACACATGCTAAAACAGATTATGCACCAGAACTTGCCATTATTTCTTTTCCTACATCTACTTTGATTCCCATATGTTTTTCAAAAAACTCAGATGTTACTTTCAATAGTTTTGGATGACCAGCTGTTAATGTATATTATAAACTCTCAGTTAATGCTTCCTCTGCTATAGCTTATCTTAAAAATTATGGAGGTGGAAAATTTGGAAAACCTTATCCCATATTTACACATGAATTCTTCACAGCCAATTATGTAAATTTTGCATACATTTACAATTAAAGATAAGGTGTCATACGATCAGCAATTATATTATCTTACATTCTTTAAAAAATAATTGATTATAATATAATATTAATTTCTTTTAATACTTTCTATTTTTACATTCAATTTATGTAGTAATCGATATCATCATTATTAATATATATTAAATAAATAATAGATTATTATTTTTTATTTGTATTAAATCAAATTACTCATTATAATTCACCGCAATCATATATAACAACCTTCTTTTAAGGTCTTCCTTATTAATTTCCACAATATTCAATTGCATTTACAACTTCCAATCCAGAAGCAACCTTTCCAAATACAGTGTGTTTTCCATTCAACCAAGGACATGGAACAGTTGTGATAAAAAATTAAGATCCATTTGTATTTGGACCTGCATTAGCCATTGATAAGAGTCCTGGAGTACTATGTTTTAATGTGAAATTTTCATCTGGGAATGTTCTTCCATAAATTGATTCTCCTCCAGTGCCATTATGATTGGTAAAATCTCCACCTTGACACATAAATGCAGGAATTATTCTGTGGAATGATGATCCTTTATAGTGAAGTGTTTTTCCAGATATCTTAGATACAGTATCACCAATGCACAGTTTTCTAAAATTTTCTGCTGTCTTAGGTACGGCATCTGCAAATAACTTATTCTTTAATATTCAATTTACTTCAAAGATAATTCTACCACTTGGAGCATTATTTATGGAAATATCAAAGAATACCTTTGGATTTTTAGTTGTGGCAGAAAATGAAAATCTAAATAATTTAGTATACATTTTAATTATTACAAAAAATTTAAGATGATTTCATAATTTTTACTATTTAAATGCTGTTTCATCAAGTCATTATATTATAATCAGAAGAATTAATTAATATTAATAACCTTCAGATTAATTTTTAAAGAAGTAGTAGCCTTTTAAACTAATCATAAATAAAATTAATTGATTAAATAAATTAATTATATAACAATATAATGAAATTTTGTAAGAATTAAAAACATCTTGGTTAACAACTTTTTGGATATTGCAAATTGATAAATTGTAATAGTAAGTTAAGAACATATTGTGATAAATGTAAATAGAATCATGAAGATCATCCATAAGATTTATATTAATTAGACAACATATAATCTATCTACTCTTCAAATTAATAGAATACTATGTAATTAGGTCTTTTTTATAAAGATTTACAATAATTTATGATAGAAATCTAAAAAGTATTGTGCTAAATAGATTTGAATAATAATTAAAAAATGAATTATTAGAATCAAAATGTTTTGCTAGATCAAATAAATTTAATGCTATAGACATAAAATGTTTTAAATTAAATTTTGCCGATATGCTATACCATTCGTAATGAATGGAATCAAGTTATATAAGAACTTAGTAATTTGCATTGTATTTTATACTTTTATTAATTTAAGTTAATCAAAAGTCATTTTAAGAAATTTAATAACAAAATACTGAGATAAAGAAATAGAAAACAATAAAAAAATAGGAAACAAAATTCTAGTAATTAAGTGAAAAGCAAAATTAATTTTAAACAAAATAAAATTGGGAAAACCTTCAAATTCATTTTTCATAAGAATTTAAATATAAATGGATAAAAATCTTAAATGATGGATTGATGGCTTAAAATGAAGATGATCGTGGAATGGTTATATGTGATCCTATGCTTCCGAGGAAAGGAAAATATCAATTTGCATTTGGAATTTCTGAAAATGCATATTTGATATGGATTGGGATTTGCCATAAAGAAATAGTTATGCAAAGTAACTACACAACAGACTTTAAATCGGATAATGAAAAAGGAATAGGGTATTAAATTGTGTTTATTTAGAGTCTATCTTATAAACAATTACGGAGTGACTAATTCACATATTAATGCTGAGATAAATAACCTAACTAATTCTTTTTTCTTTGAACCCAATGATCTCATAGTAGTCTAAGTAGATATGGATTTTGGAATAATTATTTGGTAGAGTAAAATATCTAATAATTAATATGTAAATTACATTTTACTAAATTTTTAGTCAATGAAATTCGATAAAAATCAAGACGTTCATCCTTGTGCAGGAATTACTGCATTTTCTCCCATATAAATAATTGAGAATTTTTGAAAGATTTTTGTATAAAATTTAATTGATTTATTGTATAGATTATCTTTTGAAAACAATTTTGAAATTGTTAATAAATCTTATAAAATTTTAATGTTATAAAGTAATTTTAAATATTATCTAAAAAGAATTAAGAAATAAGTTTCAAATGATAAGTTTGAATATATATAGAATATACCCTTAAATTTTAATTAAAAAAGGAGTGGGTGTAAAAAAAATGTAATAATCATAACAAAATGAAAACAAAGAAAAAATAAAATCACATATATTTCTATAAAGAGAAAAATGAGGAAATAAAAGTAGAAAAGTAAAAAATATTATTGAGTGATATTATACTAGAGTTTGAATAAAAATTTTGATAGATTTTTGATTTTGCCAAAAAGAATTGAAGGAATCTGAAGAAAGTTATTAATAAGAGGGTTGATGAATTAGGAAATAAGAGATCAGTGAGAAGTAAAATTTGTAAATATTTTAATAAAGTATTTTAATGTATTAATATGATGAAAAATATTTTGATAGAATATTATTTATAATTAATGAATATGATATAAGAGTATAAATAATTGAATAATATTGGTTAAATTATCTAAAAATTATAAAATAAATTTATGTGTATAAATTGGATAGAGATAAAAGTAAAAATAATGATAAATTTTTGAATAATAAAAAGGGATAATATAATATAATAGTGAATAATGGGGAATTTCTGTAAGGGTAAAAAAGTAAAGAAAAGTTTGAGTGAAGTAAAATTCAGTTATAAATTGAATATGTTGATATATAGATAGGTTGATTTGAATAAGAATAGTGGAAAAGATATTTTGAAATAAGTAGAATAATAATGGATAAGGAAGTGTTTTTTGAGTGTTATTAAGTTTTTGAATATTTTAGTTGGTAATGAAAATATATTATTGATTTCAATGAAAACATAGTGAGTTAATTATTTAATAAAATGAAAGCACCCACTCATAGGTGCCTGTTATCAAGTTTAATAGAGAGTAATGAAAAGACTACACGTTAAGCGAAAACACATGAATCTTTTGAGAGATTAAAGTATTCTTAACCGTAAACTGCAACTCCTAAGACTTAAATGACTAACAGGAAAAGCAAATAGATGAGTTTAGTTTAAGTTTAGCAACTAATTTAATAGCCACTTTTGAGAAAGAATCATACAGCATTATCTGAAGTACCATATACTTGGAACACAAGTAGAAGTACAGAAAAGACAGTGGACTTACTTGGTATGCCTTAACACAAACGTGTAAAATGGTTAGAAAAATAAAAATCATTGCTAGCATAACAGCAACCAGTGACAGAGCGTATATAAACAAGTCGTATAAAATAAATGGCAACTGCTGCTAATTATAACAATTTTTTAAAGAAATTCAATGGTGAATAAATGATGATATTAGATAAGATAAAAAAAGGTGTAGTAATTTAAAAAGTACAAAATGAAGTATAAGAAAATAAAGAAAGGTAGTTCATTTATAAGTAGCCATTACGTATAATTAAAGGTATGAGTGAACATATGCTCAGAATGAAGAGTATAACTAGATAACATGAATCATAACCTTCACATCCTAGAAGACTTTCAAATCCTCGTTTTTAATTAACTAATGCTAATAGACTTCGCTTTTCTAAATATTATTAAGATGATAGTTTGAAAGTGTTAAAATCATAAAAAAGAGATCCTAATCAAATTTTTAAAGAATTACATATAGAAGATATCTAATATACTGATTTAGATAGAGCATAGAATCATCCTATTAATATTGCTTTATTCAATATGTTAAAAGATGAAGAAATTATACTAAGTAAATTTTATTGTTTAATTCAGAGTAATAATAACTAGAAGAAGCAGAAAAATATACTGCTTTAGAATTAATTAAATAGAGGTAAGAAATTGAAAAATTTGATGAACTCACTAGACAAGAATATCATAGAAAATGTTATGTAGATTATAAATCCAAAAATATAAGTTCTAAATATAATTACAACTAATTACATTTAGATGAATCTTTATTAGAAATATTTCCTAAAAGTGATGCTGCAAATCCACTATAATTTAAAAAATTAAGAAGATAAAAAATATTAAATATGATTAAGATGTTTTTATTTAGATTGCATGAATTAAATCTAAATCTTGAAGATCTTATATAAAATAGAGTTTATCCTCTTGTTGCTTATAGTAATGACAGAGCAAAATTGTTTTTCGATTTAGTCAAATCTAATAAGATTGAACTAACACATAGAGAGTTACAAGAAAATAAATATTTAGTATATGAATATGATTCATCAAAATTAACTCCTCTTCATCATGCAGTCATACGTAATCATGTAGAAATGGTAGAATTACTTTTGGAATACCATGCAGATGTTAATCGTCGTGATATTGTACTTATTCTACTATAATCTAGCTTGGAAGAACTCCTCTCTTCTTTGGAATCCGTTCTGGCCATAATGATTGTGTATAATAACTACTTTATCATTAAGCAATTCCTTGGTCTAATAAAAAGAATTAATATGACCTTTATTTAGATATGCTCAATGATAAAGTTAGAGATTAATATCGTAAGGCAAAAAATGTAATGTTCTTAATTATTGAAGTACCATTTATAAATGCAAATGATGTCTTATACAAAAAGAGCTGCTTTCTGGATGGAACGAAGATATTATTTTACTTAATGAATAATATAAATATATAATTTATATATCTTAAAATTTCGAAAATTCTAAGATAGGCTTATAAGCAAAGTAAGACAATTTATATATTTATGAATAAACTTTATATTTTCTAAGCTTTTACTTTTTTAAAAGATATTATTTATAAATTTGAAAATTATATTAATAGAAAAACTTAGAAATGATATAAATTATTTAGAAATGATATATTTTATTAGAAATGAAATAAATTATTAGAAATTAAATAAAAAATAGAATGAAATGCTAAAACTAAAACACAATCAATGTTTTTTTTTTTACCTTATTTTCTTATCATGTCTTTACTAGATTTCCATTTTTTCTTTTCTATCTTAAGCTAGATTTAAATCACCAGTTTTTAAAGCAATTAAGTCTTCTCTATAGTTGCTATCAGATGCTAAAGGATAATCCTCATATTTTAATTTATAAGGGAAATGTTTAAACCAATTCAATACCTCGACTCCATCTATAAACATTCCATAAGTCCATCTGCCACTAATATTAGATAGTTTATCTTATGAAGGTAAAGATTTAATTCCTTAATATTTACGATATGTTTCTTAATAAAATTTATTAACATCTTTAAGAGAACCTTTAATAATGTATCCTTCCATATAATCTTAAGGTGTATTCTTTTTACTAAACATTCCAGGGAAGGGTGTAATTACAATATCACAGAATAATTTATTATCCAAATCAACTAACCAGCCTATTCCATTACAATAAAATTATCTATGTCCAATAGTCATACCTTAGATAACTCCAGGAATTATATTAAATATTATAGATGTTTTATTAGGGAATGTAACTTATAAATATCCATAATTTTATCCAGTAATTGAATTAGCACTAAAATTAGCTTAAGATTCTAAATGACCAGTTAATTTAAAGTTTCTACCAATTACATATAATCCTAATACAGGTGGATGATGAGATATCTACTCACAATATAATAGATTGCCATTCATATATCCTTAAAATGTTTCTCCTAAAATTGGATTGAAAGGCTTTTCCAAATTTAAAAACATTATATTATAAGCAAGTGAAAATTGTGCCACTAATTTTATTTATTCAAGTGGATCTGATAATTCTCCTGCTCTCTCTAATAACCATAAGTATCCTAAACTATAACAAGCTCTCTCTAAATTTGATCTTTTTTCAAAAATATTTACAGGTAATGAAACACTAATTAAAGATTTACCCATTAATAAATTAGATCCTAGTTTTTTTAACATAAATGTTATAACTTCTTTTTAAATATCTAATTTCTTTTTATTTATAAATCTTAAACCACCTTTTTCTTATATTTCCCAATCACTCTATAATATGACATTTTTATGTTCTGCAGTCTCTTTATAATATATATTATCTGGTTCCATTGGTATTAATCTATATTAATGTATGGCTGACCAATAGATTGCTCCAATATTTTTAGTTGCTAATTCTAATAATTATAAATAATCATTTTTATCTATTTACTCCAGTTCTTCATCAAGTACTATTTCGGATTTAAACTATTTACAATCCACATCAGATAAAGATGAATCCATCTAAACTTCTATTACTCTTTGGACTTATTATTATTCTATATTTTAGACATTAATTGGTTCTTTTATTGCCTCTTCTACTATTGATGGTGTTGGAATCTTAAATTATTTCTGAATTAAATAACTATCTAAATTCTATAATTCAGAAACATAATGTAATGATAATTAGGCATCATTTGCATAACCTCCATTTCTAGTCTCTGTTTCCCATATAATCATTATTTATTGTTATTATTATGCAATTACAGCTATTATACTTAATTGTATTTATCCCTCAAATTGATAACCATTCTATTATTGATTATTTTAATATGATAAACTCTTATCTACTATAAAAAAGTTATCTTAGTCTTTAAAAACATATCTTAAATATGTATAAGAACGTTTCAAATACAATAAACCATATTTCTTTCTCATCTCAGAAATTATCATTGAATTACTATTTGGCATTATATCTAAAATTATTGTCTAATCTATTTATGTATTCCATTACTTCATTACATCTGGACACACTAAAGCTGAAACTATTGAAACTATGTTATCACTATTTATGTTCACAATTCCCTTTATTTTGTCTTATTATGTTTTATGTTACAACAATCTACTCATAATACAACATTAAAGCATACCTTAATTTATTTTTAAAACTTATTAATTGATATTCTGAATCATCCATTAATCTATCAAGTAAAAATAATTCTTTTTTAAGTATTACATCTTTCAAAAGTGCTGGAACATTTGATATCTTTTATGATATTTTTGGTATGTCTTCTTTTACATTTTATACAGATATTATAGAAACTTGCTATTCTTTCTCTATTACTTATTGTTTCTAATCATTTGAATGTTTATAAGTATTCTCATTAACCTTTTTAGCCACTTATGATTAAGTCTTATGATGTGTCTTTATTGTTCCCTCGATCACATTTTATTGCTTAGATTATATTATTTCAGATCTCTTCTGAGGATATACATTTTATGAATTACTCAAATCCTCTGATTAACGTTAAAATATTTTCTATTGTCTTTTTATTAATAATAATATTATTATCATACTTCATCTTTTTTAATAAGTCATCATCAATAAAAGCACAGCATTACCTTAAATAATTAAACCATCTCTCTGCCTATTAGAAATCTTCACAACCAAATAGAAATGTCTCTTTTCCACATACTTAAAAACAATATTTATTCTTCATTGCTTCACACCTTAATTAATCTATGAATTATTATACCATTTTAATGAATAATCTGAAAGTAATAATTATTTATCTCTTTTCTTAGGATCATTACGAGATATACTCAATTTACGATCCATCATATTCAACTTTAATATTTTATTATTCCAAAACCAACCTGATTTTTTTTTCATCTCTAGACGTCCTTATACTTCATCTTCAAAATATATAAACGAACTCACTATCTCAATATACATTCGAAATTTCACAGGTATTGGAGGACTAATTAATTATTATATCTCTTCTTCCGATAACAACTCAGCTTTCCCCATTTTATGATTATCTATTGATGCTTGTAAGATCTGCAATTTTTATAACACCTTCCCTGGCACTCTATCAGGATAGTCTAATTTAGTACATGCACACTACTTTGCGTAAATCTTTGTAACTTTCTTACACACTCTATATATTATTTTTGAACTTTCTCTTCCATTATATAATTATGAATAAATTAAACTAGCAAGAAATTCTATAAATTTAATTATTACATCAAGATTTTTATAAAAAGTATTCTTTATTTTTAATTTCATATTACTCATATCTTCTCACAAATAACATTAGAATACACTTTTTAATTTAATTCTTATTTTCATCATTCTCATACAAAAAACATATAAATTTTAAATTTAGAAATTTAGAAATTTATAATATTCTATATTATTTTTTTTATTCTAAAATCGTATTTTTAATAGTGAATAAATTAAATATTGATTAGATTTTCGATCTTTCAAAATGATATCCAAAATATTCAATTTAAATACTCATCAATTTCAAAACAACATTTTCATTGCTACAATAAACATTGTTACATTTATATATAGATGCTATTGCTTAATTTACAGATGTTATAAATAAATAAATGATATAAAAAAATCTATAATTAAATTATAAATAAATTATATATACAATTTTTATAAAAATAGTATGCTGAAGATTTTAGTGCATTTCAATAATTCATGTAATGAGAGAAATTAAGTTTCAAGTTTTAAATTAAGATTAATCCTGAACTTTTGACTGAATTAAAATTGCGAATTTGAATTTTTTGTTACTAAAATAATAATTAAAATATTGATGATGAATAATATTTTTAAAGCAAAGTAATAAAAAAAAAGGTGATGATAATTAAAATATATTCTTATAAATAATGAAATTCATTCAGGTTTAATGGGTCTAAAATAAGAAGGAACAAATCTTCTAATACCAAATTTAAAATGAAAAGTTATGAATGAATACATAAAAATTTATCAAATTTGTGTTTTTTTTAATGGCTCTTTTATAATTCGAGGCAAGTTACGATTTGATTTGATTAATTTTTTAGGGGAAACAGATAAAAAATGTTGAAGCCTATTGCTTATATCATTGGGTGGACCTTATATTTTACACATATTATAATTAAAAGTCGGGGTTGGGATTTCTTATTCTTTATTAAGTTATTAAGCCATTTATTCCATTTTAACAGAAAAATTAATCTTCTCTAGTTCTAATAAATCAAAATCAAGAGTTTAAGTTTTCAAAGTTGTAACTGGTTGGTAATTTAGATGACACATTTTTGGTTTCATCATGAGATTAAATTTTTGATGAATATGAAAATGATAAATTATGTTTTGATTAATGGAATTAAGAATTTAAAAAATGATAAGAAAATAATGTATTCGTATTAGAATAGATATTTATAATTTAAAAGTCCATACTATTAATAGAGTATTAATTAAATTAATAAGAATAAATCAATTTTATAATTAAAACTTTAGAAGTTCAATATGATTAATATTTTTAACTTAAGGTTGATGAATTTAATAATAAGTTTGTTCTTCAAGATTTCTTAAATTTTTAGATGATGGATAATTTACAAAAATGTTATTTTAATTTTTAAGAGATTAGTTGTTACTTATTATTTATGTTTTATGGAAACATAATAGAAGTGAGAGCATGATGAAAATGTGAGAATGATTGTTAAGATATGTTTAGGATATAGTTTAAAATAAAAAAAGTGGATGTTAATGGTATAATAAGGAAGATTAAATATAGATATAATTATTTATTTGTATTGATATCAATTTTTCTTAACTTAAGCCATTTTACCCCATCCTCTAGCAATGGTTAGAACATTAGCAATTCTCTAGATAATAGAGATGAGAATAAATTACTTTAATTTTTTTGGATGCTCTATAATCCTTTAATTTTGCTTAGAGATTAACAATAGATTTATGTGTATTATTAAGGAGCCATGGATGTTTAAGTATTTTTTCAGTAGTAAGTCTTTTAGCTGGATCAATAGTTAATAACCCTTTAATTAATTCTTTGGCTATAGAATAAGATAGATAGAGATATACCTTCATTGCTGATTTAATCCCAATAAGGTGAGGGGAATGCAAAGTTTCCAGTTTTAATCATTTAGAATAGTTTATCATTATCTTCATCATAAAATGGAGGGAATCCACAAAGCCTATGTATATAGAAATGTATATTTATACATGATGTAAAGTATAACACCAACAGACCAGAAATCAATAGCTTCAGTATAACCTTTACCATTAATAATTTCAGGTGCAACATAACCAGGTGTACCACATTATGTCATCATAACTTCTTCAGAACCAACAAAACGTGCTAGTCCAAAATCACTTACTTTTAATAAGGCACCAGGTTCCATTGTTGAATATAATAAGTTTTCTGGTTTTAAATCTCTATGAACAATTCCCATTTTGTGACAATATGCAAGTGCATCAATTATTGGTCTAAGTGTAGCAGCTGCTTCTTTCTCACTAAAATGATCCTTCTCTACTATTCTTTCAAATAACTTTATATTATCATTCATTTTTATATATATACTTCTCCGCCTGTCATTAATTCTAATACCATATAAAAATATGTATCATCTTCATATATCTCAAATAATTTCACTACATTAGGATGATCAATCTAAAATTATATTTATTTTCATTATACTTATGTTAAAATCTCAACTTCTGTTTGTAATGCTAATAAATCTTCATTTGATAAGTTCTCCCTTCAATCAATATTTAATATATACTTATTTATTATTTTTACTGCAAAATGTTCACCTGTACTCTTTTTAACTGCTCTTTTCACTACTCCAAATGCTCCCCTTTACTTATATTATATTAATACTCTCCTAATGTTTTCTCCAAAGTGTACACTTTATTAATATCTTCGTTTCCTTACATTTAATTATATTATATATAAATCAAATTCTTAAAACTATCTTTCTACATTCTAACAATCCAATCTTCCTAACATTTTCATTAAATCTCTACAATACCTATCCTATATATTAATTCAATTTAATAGATAAATCTTTTCATTTTAAATTTCAAAATATTTCACTTAAAATCTTATCCTGTTGTTCTTCTAATAATTATCTCATATATTAATATAATATTTTAAATTCATTAAAAATGAAAGTAAACATAATTGTTAATACAACAACTAAATATTTTATATAATATATAACTAATAATAGTCCAATATGTGTATATAAGAATAGTTTAGGTTATTGAAGAATACTATAATATGTATAAAATATATAACAATGATTAAGAGAATAAATATAAGAAAAAATGAAATATTTAAAATAAATACATTATGGAAGCAAGTGAAGCATTACTAAGTAAAGCTCTCAAAATTGGATGCACAATTACTTTATGTTATAAAGATGATGATGGAAATAACTATTATGCATGTTGTGAGGGTTTTACATCTATGAAACTAAGATTACTAACTGCATAATAAATTAAAGATTAAGGTCGATTGAATTAATGTTTGTTTAAGGTTGTGCCTCCATTTTAATATGTGGAATATAATAAGGGAAAGGAAGCCTTCCATTAGAAAGAAATCTTAAATTAGGTTACTAATGTTGATTAAAGAGGTAAGGAAGTTACCATTATTAATTAGACTCAAGACTTGAATTTCCCAAACAAATTAAACTTATGTAAGATGAATCATAGTTGAACAAGGAATCTTTAGAAAAAATGAAAGGATAATCTATATTTTTTGGATAAACTATACAATTCATTCATCAAGCAAGCAATAAATACTTGAGTTATTTTAAAGATTAAGGGAGTGATTATGAAAGTGATAGTTGGAAAGCCACTTTGAAAAAAGAACATGGAGAAGACACTTAATTTAAATTCTTGGCCTCATTCTCATTTTAATAAGAAACTGGAGGTTTAATATTTGATGAAGATACTGTCTATATTGTTAGTGTATTAGATATGAGTACTGAACCAGGTTTACATGCTTCTAATAAAAAAAAAGATAAAGAAAAAAGAGAACTTAATGTTGCACCAGAAAAGAGATCCTTTTGGAAACTCAACATTTTCTCTAAATTTATGAATGATGAATTAGGATACCTATCTGTTTTTGATGTTATTTGGATTAACTATTCTGAAACTAATGTATTATTAATTATTTACTTATTATTAGTTGAATATGATTGTCTAAAAATACTCTCCAGATGACAAAAAAAAATATTTGAAATTTGAAAAAGGACAAGATTCAGAATAAATTAATTAATTTATTGGAGATAGTAATGGAATGTATGTCATTGAAAATATTGATCCAGAAAAAGGAGACTTTTTAAATGGAGGCTATGTTGAATGGGTTAAAGAATATAGACTTAAACATTTAACATCTAATTATTATCTTAAATTAGAAGAAATTGCTGAAATATAAGGTTCATTTAGACTTGTTGCTGTTGAAAACATTTCTGATTCATCCATTTTCTAATTTGGAATGATATATTCTACTATAGTAAAGAAAGACAATTAAGAATTTTTAACAAAAGATTCGTACTTTAGATTATCTACAAGGGGTTAAAATGAATAATATTGGCTAAAAATAGATACAGTAGGTCCTAATGAAATTTATAAAATAGAGGGTGACAATTTCATTGAAGATATAACAATTCCAATATTTGATTAGGATAAAAAGGATGAACATGTATTTAATTTAGCATGTGCATCTTTAAATGAAGTCAGATTTATTAAGTATTTATTATCTTGCATGAAAATTTTAAAAAGAAGTAAAGAATATTTAGATGTTGATTTAAATGATACTGGATTTTTTAAAGATTCCTAATTCTAAGAAATCTATAAAAAATTGATTGTAAGATCCCAACATCTAGAACAAGTATTAGATGATTTATATTTGCTTTGTCATAACAAATTAGAAGGTTTTGTATCTTTTGATACAGAATTCGGATTCCCAAATCAACATACACAAAATCTCCTTAAAGAATAATATTTCTTTGAAATTTTATTCTAGATTCTTGTTATTTGCTTCCCAACTTAAGAGAGTTTAAAGAAAGCTGATGAACCTTTTTAATTAGTTTAAGTAACTAAATTATTATCAGAAGAAAAATTAGTGGATTTAAATCTTGAAAAATAAATTATTGCTAGATTTATTGAGAAAAAAAAAATTATATGCACCAAAATCTTTAAATTATTACAAGCAATGGTTATAGATAATATTGCAAATCAGGAATATTGCTCTAAATATTTACCTATTCTATCTATGCAATCAATGTATTTAAATGGAGCTATAAGTACTATTTTAGCTATTATACATAATTTTGAAGAATTGTTGTTGAATCTTAATAAAGATGAATATCCTCTTGAAGTACCTTAATAAATTTTAAAAGCAGCTTCAATAAAAACTCCATAAATTAATTAAAATAAATAAAAAAAAAGAAGGAAAAATGAAATAAATAAACCAAGTGTTGATTATAATGCTTAATATAAACTTATTTGTAAATAGATAAAAGGATAAATGCCTAATTAATTATAAACATGGGATTTACTTATGTTTTTTACTACTATGCTTAAAAGCAATTATTTCTTGTTTAATAAAAAGATTGAAATCATGTATTTTTTGAAAGAATCAGTTTGTTTTGAAGAAAAAGGTATCAATATAAATCAAGAAACGGCATATAAATATATTTTGTCATCATAAAGAGTATTTGAAGATGAAATTCTTATTAGATTAAAAAGTGATGGTCCTTAATTAAAAGTTTATAGAGGAGATTAAGAGAGCACTCTTCTTGATTATTATCATAAATACAAAAACAATGATGATCCAAAATTATTGAATTTTATTCCATATGTTTAAGAATTGATGAGAATGTATTCAAGAATGTGTAATTCCAGAAATTATACTTGGAAAAAGTTTGCTGAAAATTTTTTTAATGTAGAAAGTTTGATTGAAAATATTTAAAACAATTAATATAATGTTGAAATTAGATCAATTATTTGTAGTTTATTGAATAAATTATATGTTGATTAGGAACCAAGAAGAATAATTATTTGGCCAGAACTTTGTAAAATTGTTAGAACTAGTAGAAAATAAAATAAAAATGATATTAATAATACAATGCTTTCAGAAGGAAAATAACAAAATAAAATAACAAAGACTGATCCAGTAGATATTCCTAAAGTATAAGAAAAGATAAATGGATATCTTGCTGATTAGTTATATTTTGTATAAAATTAATCGGATCTTGTAGATTTAAATAAAGGACCAACAGAAAGATATGATATGTTAGGTATAATATTCAAAAATGCCCCTGAAATATATAATGAACTCACATTAGAAGTTATTAAGTTATTTAAATTATTAATTTAATTTGGAAAATATTCAATTGTTATTGAAGAAGATGAACAAAAGACGATTACTAAGAATGCATAATTATTTTCTAATATAAGAGCTTTAACTGCAATTTTAGAATATAATTCAACTTATCCAGAAGTTAGAAAGATTTTATCTATAAAAAGAAAAGAGGAGGAAATTTAAAAAAATAGTACAAATCTTTTTGGATTTGGAGATAAAAATAAAAAGTAAGAAGAATAAGGATAAGTAAAACAATAATATTCAGGTGAGGATGATGCTGAAGATTTGTCAGAAGCAGAAAATTTTTAAAAATAAGTTGAATTTCTTTCATTAAGAATGAATTAATTTATGTATTAATAATAACTTCCTAATGATCCTTTAATAAAATTAGAAGTTTGTGAAATATTAGATTTATATCTTGATAGTAAGATGGATTTTTATTTAAATAATTTAAAATTATAATTCTCAACCTGGGTTGAAAAATTAAATTTATTTAATGATGTTTTTAATGGTCAAAAAGATATAGATAATGAATAAGATAAGGAGGAAATTTAATAATAATTTAGAGATACGATAAAAAAAAATTTAGATAATATGTTACCTGCAATTATGAAAACTGGAACGAAAGTGGATGATGAAATATTTAAAAAGAAAGAAGATAATTAACTATTTAATATTATGAATATAGCTAATCTTGCAAATAAATTAGTAAATACTAATGATGATTAATCTAAAATAAAGTCTTTAGATGCTATAGAATTAAGTAATATAATATCATTTTCAATATTTCCTTCTTTAATATCAATATTTTGTTTAAATTAGAGTTTAGATTTAGAAACAAAGATTCTGCATATTTTAACTAGATTTTATAATTAAAGACATGAGTTTGCAGATTTATCAAGTAAATTATTATTATTGTTTGATGATACAAATATTACAATATTTAAAAAGTCAAAAAAGAAAATATTAGTATTGGCTAAATGTGTTGATGAATCAGAAACTTGGGTATAGAATTTAGATGAACCATAAAATTTAAGAACTTTAGAATTAGTTTAATAACATTTTGAATTTTTTACTTAATTACTATTTAAAGGATCATATTTGAATGAATCTTAAGAATTAGAAAAAGGACATGAAGGATAAGTAGATAGTATTAGATAAGATATGATGAGACATTTAAAAGTAGATAAATTAGGTGTTGATTTAATTAAAGATAGTGTTTTTATGGTTGAATAAGAAGATATTGATCCTGAGTTACAATAAAAGCTAAAAAAAATGTTTTAAGTTTGTTTAACATTCTTAAAATATTTTTGTATGAATAATTTAACCAATTAAAATGTGATGTCTTAACATATCGTTGCATTAATATCTAAATTAAATACAGATTTAGGTTAGGTTGAATTATTATGTGAAATATTTAGAGATAATAAAGCAGTTTGTTTTGAACGTTCTTAAGAAGTTATTGATGATTTTGTAAGATTAATTATAACAAATGGTAGAAGAGTTAGATATTTAGAATTCTTTTTAGTTATAATGTAAATTAAAACTGAATATATCTCTTAAAATTAAAAAGCTGTTTTAAATTTATTTATTGATCCTAGATATAAAACTTAATTATTTTATATGTTACCTAAAGGTGAAGCTGATGAACATCCAATTTTTGATTTTGAAACTAAATTTCATGATAATCCAAATTATAAAGATGAACCATATGATTATCATGCTAAATTTATTGAAGTTTGTGCTTAATGTACAATAGGTAAAGAAGGATTGTTGAGTTCTGAAAATAAATTAAAGGCTTAGATTACTTTTAAATATGTAATGGAATTATTATTAGAAAAAGATGAGTTTTCTGAATTAATTGAACCTCCAAGTGGTTTAGATTCTGAATAATAATTTATGGAAATTCCAACTCACAAATAAAGATCATAATTATAAAGTGGAATTAGTATCATACCACTTAATCGTGATAAAGTAGAAGGAATTACTAAAATAAAACCATCCTTATTAGATTTGTTATTTTATACATATTTAGAATCAGAAAAGATATCTGAAGAAGTATTTTCATGTTTTGATATGATCATTTAATTTATTGCAAATGAAAAAGATAGAATTATGAAATGTAAGAATTTTATTCCATAATTCTATGATTACTTCTTTAGTAATCTTATGCTTGTATTAAATGGATTGGTTAAAGTTTTGAATAGAGAATTAGGATCTCAAGCATTAGTCTAAGGATCAAAGTTATAAAAATAATCTACTGAATTTTATAGAGAACTTGAAGAATTAAGAAATTTCTTGACTGAATCCTTTACTTCTTAACTTCAATTAAGTAATCGTTAAAAAACGTTATTATAATATTTTAAAGACAATATCATTATGAAAGAAGAATTAAATAAATAAAATTAAGATGATTAAAAATATTAATAAGAAAAGGAAAGATAAAAAAACAGATCAAGATAAGCTTCTTAATATAAAACTCCAAAAAGATTGTAAACAATTTAAACATCAAAAAGAGAATTAAGTACAGATCAAATTTGGAAAGAATTATGGGATATATTTTTGACTGAATTTTTAGATAGTGAAGAATTAATAGAAGCAATAAATAAAGAATAAATGGCTTTTGCTAAAGCTATTTCTAAAGTTGAAGAAATATTTAAAAAAGATAAAATTGTTCATTAATAAATAAATAAATAAATTATTTTTTAAAGACTAATAGCATTTTTAGAAAAATCTTCAGCTTCTGCTGAAAATATTACAACATTTAAATTGATATTGAATGTTTTAAGAAATTTTATTCATATTGAAGATGAATCAGAATTTACTCCTGATATGGATAAAGAAGAAAAAAAAACAATTATTTAAAGATAAAAAAAAGATAATCAAAATTTTTTAAATAGTAATAATGCTATGTAAATGACATTGACTTTACTTAGTGATATTTCTGATCCTATAAATTCTTAAAAGATTTTTGGCGAATTAATTTAATTTGCAATAGATCTTCTTGATGGAGGAAATGAAGATATTTAAAGAAGTATTTGGAATTATTTTTAAAATTTTACTGAAAGCGAAACAATATTTTTAAGATTACATAATGAATTCTAAAAAACTATAAAAAATATGAAAAAAAATGATGAAATGTTATTTTAATTTGGATTTTAAAAGTAACCAGATATAATTAACTAAATATTAAGATTACTTTAATTATTTGCAGAAGGTCATTATAAAGAATTATAAGAATATATGTATTTTTAAAAATTTAATCATCATTCCCATAATCTAATATATGATTTTATAGATTTATTATAATCGTATATGAATGCAGTGGAACCAGATTATTTTGAAAATATGATTTAAAATTTTGATACAATAACTGAATATATTTAAGGTCCTTGTAGAACTAATTAGAAAGCTTTAATAGAAGCGAATTTTTTAGATTTAGCTAATAAATTATATGAGATAGATGAAATTGCTTTAGAAATATAAGATGAAATAATTGAAGATGAAGAATTCCTTGAGGATGATAATTAGGAACTATTCACAATATAGAAACACTTACCAAGATGGATGATTGCATTTCTTAAATATAAATGTTCAATAACTTTAATATCTTTATTAGAAGATAGAGAAGGTGATGAAATAATATAAAGAATATAGAAATCAATAAGTAATGAAAACTTAAAATCGAACATAAGTAATATATTTTACATGTTTTAATTTTATTCTAATGAAGTTTATGATCTCAAATTATTTGGCCATTTTGTAAACTAACAACCAAAAACAAAAGAAGAAAGAAATTATTGTAGTTTTATCATAGAAACAGGATTTAATCTTTTTTTCATTTACTAAATCCATTAAAAGACAAAAAGTAAAACTACTTAACAGAGTAAAGGTGAAGAAGAAGAAACAGATGATGTTACATAGTAATTATTAAATAGTCCATTTTATAAACTGTTATTATTAGTGTAAAATTTAATTAAAAGTTTGTAAGATAGTGCATTATAGGTTGCAAAGATCTATTAAAAAACTGAAAAATAAACTCCTAAAGAAAGGATGTAGAAATTATAATAGGCTAGAGCATAATTATTTCCAAAAGCTTCTAAATTCTTTCTTTCAAAAACAGCAAAAATAGAAATAATGTTGGAGAGTAAAAATGTTGAAGAAACATATTTTTATATTCCTCCTTATTGTTAACTTGATGATGATGCTAAGAGAACTTTTAATGAAACTGCGAATAGAAATTCAAATAAAGCTAAAGTTACATCTTTAGTTGAAAGTTCAGAGGAAATTATAAAAACAATGAAATTAAATTATAAAATCTAGGTATATTTAAATTAAATTAAAACACTTTAAGTAATTATTGAAAACATAGATTTATTAAGAGATATTGAATTTATAATAGCATTGTTGATTAATTTATTTATATTCTTATTTTATAAGAAGACTTATGTTGGAATTGAAATAAATGCAGATTTATCAGAAACAGAGATATGGTCAAATGATGATAATTTTGAATATTAAAGTCTTATTGATTCATTAGGAATATTATCAATAGTACTATCAATATTGATTGTTGCATTTTTTTTAAGCAGAAATGCTCCATTATTATTAGAGAAAGCTTGGAGTGGTGTTGGATAAGAGAAATTAAATCCACTTGCATATTTAATAAGGTTATTGAAAACAGTATATTACTTATTATCTGATTTCTTTGCTTTATACTATATTATGTATGGAACAGCAGCAGTATTAGGTAGATTTGTACATAATTTCTTTTTTTCATTTCATTTATTTGAAGTTATGATTAGATTTCCATTATTATTAAATGTAGTAAAATCAGTATGGAATCCAAGAAAAATGATATTGTATACAGGTCTTTTATTATTAATCTTTATGTTTGTATTTACTGTATTTTCTTATAGAATTTTTTATGATAGCTATGATGCTGGATTTTGTGATTCTATGTGGGTTTGCTTTTTATCAACTTTAGATTCTGCTTTTAAATATGATTAAGGAATTGGTGGATTTCTTAAGAGTCCGTATGAAGTTTATCCATCAGATGAAGTCAAATTAGTACTTAGATTTATATTTGATAATTTCTTTAACATTTTAGTAATTATTGTAATGTTAAACATTGTTGCTGGTATAATTATTGATACATTCGGTGAATTAAGAGAATAATTATAAGAATATAATCAAGATTTAGAAAATTTATGTTTTATTTGTGGATATGATAAAGAAACTATAGAAAAAGAATCTATTAATTTATAGAATTTCTCTGATCATATTAAAAAGGAACATTATTAATGGTATTATCTATTTTATATTGCTTACTTAAGAGAAAAAGATCCAACTGAATATACAGGTATTGAAAGTTATGTTGCAGGTAAATTAGATTCTGGAGATATTACATGGTTTCCATTAAATAAGTATATTTATATAATCTATATTTATATAGAGCTTTATGTCTTAAAAAAGACTTTGGAAATTAAGAAGAGAAGAATATTGTTACTTCACTTGAAACTATTAAAGAAAATGCATAAGAACTAAAAAATATTTTAGTTGAAATCTAAACAGAAATAGAAGAAGAGGATTGATTAATTATATTTTGCCTTATTATATATCATCTATATATTAATTATATAAAATGTTTAATAATAATAATAATCAATTCATATTATTGTGAATAAATATTGCTTAAATTAAATGATTCACAAAAATGTAGTATTTGGAAATCATATAACTGCTCATAAATTGGAAAGATTAGTTAAACAATAGAAAATATTGTTAAAATCTCCATATGATTCAAATAAAGAGACAAAAAATAGAAAAATATGTAAATCTAAAAGTTTTAGATTCGAATTTCACCCACACATTTTTGAAGAATCTCATAATTCTCCATTAAGAAAATAACTATAATTATAGATACCTACTGATAAAAGTCCAATTAGACGTGCTTCTTCTAAACCAACTTTAGATTTTATTTCAAGAAGTTAGAAATCGATGACAAGTTTATCATTAAAAAATACTGCTTAACCTAATAAATTATTAAGAAGATGGAGTAATTATGAGTTAATAAGTGAAAAATAAAAGCGTCTTAACAACAAAGCTCCAAAATCAGTCATTAAATATTAATATCTTATGGCTATGAAAGCTAAGAAAAAGAAAATTCATAGAATGAAAATGCAATACAGTAAGTTCTTATTAAAAATTTAGAGTTTTTGGGGAAAAAGAATAATAAAGTTAAAAAAACCAGAAGTAAAACTTTGCCATTAGATCCTGTTATTAAAATGAGACACAAAAGAGCTTAAACAGTTTTTAAAGAGTATAATGAAGGACCTATTTATCCTTTAGAGTATAGTTTAATTAAAAAAATTGCCAAATTAATTATGATGAAGAAAACAGCAGTTAAAAGATAAACTTGTTTTTAAATTCCAAAAAGAAGTATGCTACTTTCAAAAGAAAAATTAATAAGATTTTAAGAATAGATTAATGAAAAATTAATTACCTAATCAGAAACAGATAGTTAAATAGATGGATCTCCTTGTTTAGAGTCATTTAGAGCATATTAAAGAAGAGTTAATTTTGAAGAGAAAAAATTTTAAATTAAAATAATGTCAAGAAAAAAGAAAAATCTTATTAAAGCATTATAAAATAAACAATCTTTTAGTATTATAAATTCTTATGTTTCAAAGAAGGCTAAAACTTAAAATTCAGTTTAATAATAATAAAGTTCTTAAAATTCTGTTCATTAAAAAAGCATATAATAAACATTATGTGATTTTATGTCTAAACAAGGAGATAGATTAACAACATTTCATAGTGCTCATGAATAGCCTTAAAATAATTAAAAAAATAAGAGATCGAATATGTTAACCAAGTTATTTCCATATTTACAGCCATAAAAAATCGTCAACAAATGATATTAAATTTTCCAAATACCTTTTAACTATAAAACTTAAAATTATTTAGAAATAAATTGGAACCACTAAAAAAAAGGACTCAAAGGTTTTTATCCAAATTTTAAATATAAATTTTTAATAATAATATATAATTCTTCCTTATGCCTTTATTATTAATTTGTGGTCCTCCTGCAAGTGGTAAAACACAAAGAGCTTTAGAAATACAAAAGTTGATAAAAGAGAAGTTAAATAAAGATTCTATTATAATAAATGAGGAGAATTTACATTTAATTAAAGATGACGCATATAAAGATAATACAAGCGAAAAGATGACAAGAGGATTTTTAAAATCTAATGTTGAAAAATATATTTAAGCTGGTCAATTAGTCATATTTGATTCTATTAATTATATAAAAGGATATAGATATGAATTATATTGTTTAGCAAGAGCTGCAAAAACAACTAATTGCTTAGTATTTAAAAGAATATAATTTAGTTATATTTGAATGTGCCATTAGAAATTTGTTAGAAAAACAATGAAAATCGTGAGAATAAATTTAATGATAATTTATTGATTGATTTATATAAGAGAATGGAAATTCCTAAATAAAAAGATAGATGGGAATGTCCTTATTTCGAAGTAAGATTTTAAGAGAAAACACCTTTTGAAGAGATGGTAGATGTACTATTTTATGCTGAAAAAACAGCAAAAGATCCAATTGCTACTAAAAAAGTAATATAAAAGATAAAATTAGGAATAATAAAATGAAGGAAATTTTGTACATGAATAAGAAAAAAGAGTTTAAGAAATATTAGATTAAATTTAATAAAAGTAAATAGAGAGTCTTCAAATTGGAAATGGAACAATAAAGTTTTAAGGTACAAAATCAACACTTATTTTAAAACGTAATTTGAGCATAATTGAATTAAAAAAATTAAGATTAGAGTTTTTAAATATGCTTAGAATAACTCCAGTAAAAACATTAGGAGATACTAATGAAGCATTTGTAAATTTTATATAAGCTCAAATAGAACGATTAGGATGATGATGAGATTTTCTTTATTTTGGTATATAATTATTTCATTATTTGTTATAATTTTGGAAGATTTAAATTTCTATATTTCATTAGAAATAATTCAAAACGATATAAAATATATATATATTTATATACTGTTATCAGAATCCAATTCATCTTAATTTTTTGTATATCTTTTATCATAAAGTAATGAATCTACTCACAGACTCTTAAACAATCGAATTTTTAACAAATTGTGAAGACCTTCTCAATTCAACACTTGATTAAGGTTAACTTGAATCAATGTGTCATGAATTAATAGACACCTTTTGTAATATTTAGAAATATTTCTAGTTGTTTATTTGGAGGAAATATAAAACTATAAAAGTGAAGCAAACTTTGAACTAAAATCTAAATAAGCAGAAATCGATATGCTGCACTTTTAAATTTCTAAATATACTAATCAACTAGAGGAATAAAAACAGGATTTAACTAGATAGATTGATATTTGTCAATAATTAGAATTATAATTGCAATATTGTGAGGAGAAATCCTAAAAATCTGAAAAAGAAATCGTAATAGTGGAGACTGAATTAAGAAAGAAACTTCATCAGCAAAATCAATAATATCGAGATTAGATTTAAACCTTAATGAGTGTTCAATAAGAAATTGATAAACATATACTTTAACTCTCTAAAGAAAAAGGATAACTATAATTATAGTTTGAATAGCTTCAAAAGAAATATGACGATTAGTAATTTTTAATAACAAACTTGAATGAGTAATTAGCTAATCTACAAACAACCTCAAGTTTTAATACAAAACATAAGTAGAATGACAATATTATCATGGATATTTAAGATGAATCTCTAGAACTTAATACTTAATAAAAAAGAAGCTAGTACTCAAATTGCATTTCACATAATTAAATTAATTTTAAATGGGAAAAAATTTAACCTAGTATATCATCTATACGTGATTCTATTACCATTATCAACCCAATAAATACTAGATGTGAAATATAATCGAGATAAAAGATTAAATCATTAGTTTTTCTTAATAGTAGCAAAGAAAAATCATATGATCCTTATTATGAATTTTTTAAATTGGTATTTCTAATCAATGAATTTTAGATTACTCAATGTGTTAAACTTGATCTAGGATAAGCTCATATCTTTACTATGAATTTCGATTATCTTTTTGATAAGTTTAAAAACGAATCTATTCCTTTCAATTAATGGTATAATAAAATAGTTGACGAGATTTTTTTATGAAAAAAAACTAACCAATATTAATCTATTAATTTATTTATTTTTTTAAATCTCTTAAACACTTTAATCTTTAAATACTTAAAATATCTTTTCATTGATAAATATATCAAATAAAATCTTCATAAATACTTTATAGTTTTATTTTGTAATTAGAGACATAAAAATTGGATAATTATCATTGTATTAATCTTTTTAAATTAATGAGTAAGAGAAAGGATATTTAAATCTACTTTGATTATAAGAAACAAGCTTCTATAGCAATTTGAAATGATTATAGATTTTTAAAATTCGAACTATTTTTTATATATAATATTAATACTGAATTAAAATTTTGTAAAAAAAGAACTGTTAAAGGTTTTGAATTTTATGAGATTAAAAAGGGAAAAGATATGATATTATAATTAGAGCCAGAAAAATGATAAGGATATGAATAAACCTTTTCCATAAATTTTGGAGAATTACTTTTTGATGAGTTTTTTAATTTAAGTTCTGGATTAAATGATTAATACTCTGATAATTTAGAAATGTAAATATTATATAAGCTAAATATAGAATATTTTACTATGAAATAGTTGTTGATGTAAAAGTAATAATGGTTTGTATAGATTTGAACAATAACTTTAAAAATTTATGATTAATTAAATTAAGACGAAGAATTAATTGCTAATTATTAACAATATATTTGAAAAAGGAATACTAATGAATTATCAAATGATTCAGGATATAATAAATTAGAGTCTTATTCTAAATTATATTATTTATTTATTTTAAAAGAAACTCAAATAATATCTTAGTTTTATTCTTAATAATAGTTATTTCATTTGCTAACATTAAAATAACATTTTAGATAAATAATGACAGAAGAAAAACTAATTAAAATTAAATTACTTATCTACTCAAACTATATGATTTCTATCAAAGATAGAATACAAATATTGAAATTTCAAAAGTGTTAATTTTGTAAGTTCTTTTCCATTTAAATAAATAAAAAATTGTTTTTAACTCAAAAAAATAACTTTTCATCAAATATTAATTTATTTATTATACAATCAACCAACTTAAAATAATTATTTAAATAAACTTTTGATTTTCATAATCATTTTATTCTATAGAAAATATAATAGAAAGAGGTATCAATTAATTTAAAAAGTTATACAAAAAAATGATTATATAATAATAATATTGTTTATTTAAAAAGTAATAAAAGTCTTGTATAATTAAATATTAAATAATGAATAGAAGTTCATTTTGTTTAGTTTAAAATATGTATAAGTTAATTAAAAATTGTTAATAATTATTAAATGTAATAATAGCAATTAAAATAACAGCCTTAAAACATAAAAAAAATAGAGGGTTCATCTACTAGTCCTTATGGAAAAATAAAGTTTGAGAATAAGTAAATTTAAAATTCTCAAGGGACAATAGTATTAAATTTATAATATGTTTAGAAAGAGATTGGTTAATATATATACAATTTAAATGATGTGATTGGGTCAGGAGAATTCAGTTCAGTTTATAAAGGTCAAGATTAAAATACAAATGAGATAGTGGCTATCAAGATAATTGATAGAAAAAGCATTTAAAATAACTAAATTTTTAGAAATCTATTAGTTAATGAGATAAATATCCTTAGATCAGTGGATAATAAATGCTTGCTTAAATTATACAATTACCTAGAAACAATAAATAATATTTATATTATAACTGAATTTTGTTCTGATGGTAAATAATCAGTTGATTTTATTTTAGGTGATTTGCAAACTATAATAGAAAAAAAAGGATATTTACCAGAACATAATGCAGTAAAGATTTTAAAGCATCTCATTAAAGCCTTACTATATTTAAAGGAAAGAAATATTGTACATAGAGATATTAAAACATAAAATATTTTAGTTTCAAATTAAATACCTAAATTAGCTGATTTTGGATTTGCAGTTGACTTAAATTAACCTTAAACAAAGTATATATTTAGTATATGTAGAGAAGTTTTATAAATAGGAACTCCATTATACATGGCACCAGAAATATATTCTCACTATTAATATACTTCAAAAACTGATTTATGGGCACTTGGTATAGTATTTTATGAAATGTTATTTGGTATGAAATTATGAAATAAATAGGAAAGGTACCATTCAATGCTAAAAATCCTAAAGAACTTGAGCTTATGTTCTAAATTCAACGAACAAGATAAACGATTTAATTTGATAATGGACCCTAAAAAATCACAGAAACAGCCTAAGATTTTATTACTTCCTTATTGGTGATTGATCCTAAATAAAGATTTGATATTTCATAGGCTGCAAATCATCCACTCATTTAAAGTATATTTTATTTTTATACAAGATCCACATCCCCATGCGAATAAATAAAACTGATATATTTGTTAATAATAATAAATCAAAGATTCATCTAACATGTCTAGAAAAAAAATTCCTTTTTCTCTTTTTTATATAATATCATTCAATTTTTAATAAATAACTATAAAATAGAATAAAATCGAAGAAAGAAACATAGATTCTTACTTTTTATTCAATATTATTTCATATTTGAGAAACAAATGTATTTAAATCCATCATTCAATTAGATTTCATATATTATTTTAAATCCTATTTACATTTGATTCTTTTTAATTATTAAATAGTGTTGTAGATTATTTCTAATTATAATATAATTAGTTAAATTTGATACTAAATTTTACTAATTATTATTAATTAATCCATAATAAGTTTAAGAACAGAAATTTTTATTTTATAATCGTAGTTTATATTGTACATATTCTAAATAGTTAGTCCTAACAATAATTATGCTTCTTATTGGTATTTCACTATAAAATATATGAAAATATCGAAATTAAATCTAATATTTATCTCCTATAATTAATAATAAATTTTGAAATAATTATAAATCAAAAAAAGTCTCCATCATACTCTGTCATTTTGATAATTTCATCAATTATTTACATATGAGTATAATCATTTGTTTTTTTTTAAATATCTTGAATTACTGATTCTCCTTAGTATTTTAAAAATTCTCCAACATAACGATCTGGATAAATCACTAACAAAATCTAATTATAAAATACTTTCTCCAATTGATAAAACAGTATGTGCAATAAACAAATAATCGTCAATATTAATAATTTAGATTTCATCTTAATAGAATTCATTAATCAATTTGAATATAGGAAATTCAATAATTGTTTATTCTTTGTATCGAGATTTTAATAGTTTAGTGATCAAATTACAAATGTTAGAGGGAAATTCCTAAATAAGGCAATACATTTACTTTATTATTTTTATTGATAATTTAAACTTATGTTACTATTTTTTCAAAGCATAAATCTTGTTCATTTAAAACAAAATTATTATCATCTTCAATAATTGAATAAAAGCCTTCATAGATTAATTTAATAATAATTTTGTTGAATTTAAGGTTACTTTAAAGTGCATTCGAATAATAAGATAATAAGTGATATTTTTCTAAAAGAAGCTTAATATGATAAATATTTTACTTTCATTAATTATTTATTTTTTTCTATAATAACATTAAACATTTTTAAAGCCTATATGGCTAATTTAGATACTTTTTAAGATTTGATGACATCATTAAAAGCAGATATGGCATCATCAATAATTAAATATTTATTAAATTGATTAACAATTTGAAATTGATTGATGTGGATTGATCCTATAACTGCTCTCATAGTTTTAAAAGACTATTATTTAAGAGAATCATCAATTGTTGATTATGAGATGTTATCTATTATTTCTAATATTTATTCCATATTAGGTTCTCTATAATTATGAAGGAAAAGATGATCAATGATTTTTAGATAATTCATGCTTAATTCTTCATGACAACCATGTGTAGTATAACTATAATAAATATTAGATAATATTTATAAGCTTTGAGCTAATTTTAAGGTTTCATCTAAATTTAATTCAACTAGAAAATTAAACACGATTTTAGTGAACTATTTAGTTTAAGAATTATATTATTACACTTTCTTTTAATTCATCAGAGCTGTAATTCAATAAATTATTCAAATAAAGAATTTAACTTTGACTTAACAATAATAACATCTATTATCTCTTCATATGGTAAGTGAAATTAGTTAAAAATTTAGAGCATTATTGTGGAAAATGTTATAATAAATCAAATACTATTTAAGCTCCAGGTCTATAATATTTAATTAATAAACTACATTATAGCATCAATAATTTAGCTATCCAATTCCTTTTTGGATGATAAAAATTCATCAAGATTTTCTATACATTAAGGGATATTAGATTTAGATATCAATTGATCATAATCATTTTTAGGAAAATCAATAAGAATTTATTGAATGATATTGCTTCTTTTTTTTGTGAATATTTCTTCATTTTTTTCTCTTCTTATTTAGACTCTAAATAATTCCCTCTTTTCTTTAATCATTTAATTAATATAAAAATAATAATTAAATTAGAAAATTATTACTTTACTTATATCTTAGTTATAAATAGAACATTAATTATATAAAGCTTGACATTTTAAGATTTATTTTAATGAATAATTGATAGCCCTTCAAAAAACTATCTATTTTTCTGATCAAGAATATTTTATATAGTTTGTTATTCCTTCTTTTTAAATTTATTGGTCAATTCTTGACTACATTCTTTAAGAATTATGAAGATAATGATTTTATTTTATTTTAAAAACAAAGATATTTAATCATTAATTATCATCCTAACTATCTAAAAATAATTGGTTTTAAGGATTAACTAATTTATGAAAAAATTGTATCTAATAGAATGCCTGATGTATTAATCTTAATCTATTCTTTCTTTTTAAATTTTTATTAACCTAAATCATTAAGAAATATATTTTAATTGCAAGTGATTATTGTAAATTTTTATAATTCTTCAGTGCATCTTTTGATATCAAATTTCATAAAAAATGCTGATAAGAAAATGAAGGTTCATACGTCTAAATAACTGATTATATCCATGCATAAATAAACATTGAATTTTTATAAGGGACGTATGTCCTGCGAAATCTTTCAGTAATTTATTAATCAATAATTGGTTACTTTAACCTTTAACTGCAGAGAGTGATCATTTAGATTATTATGGAATACTTCTTATTGAATTATTAAAAATATAAAAATGTATATTGTTCGGCACCTAATCCAATGATGCCTCTTGTTTATACTATGAAATCTTCTTTTAATTCAATAGCCAGCTAAAATCCAAAAACAGGATTTCCTTCCAGATGTATCGATTTTACTCAATTTTTTAAATGTAACAAATTTTGTCAGACATTAAATTGCTCATATAAAATCTTAGTTTACACCTAAATGTAGAGCTTATGATACAATTTAGGGTATAGAAAGAAAAGCTGAGTGGATGTTGAAGATATAAAGATCAGTCTGAATAAATGGAGAAAGAAAAGATGATATAAAATTGTTTAGATATTATATAGACATCAAAATACTATGTAATGAATAAGTAACGAAATAATTAGATAAATGAAGCCCATTTAAAGATAACATATAACATCAGAGCTATATAAACTTTGTTTATAGGAAGTTTAAACTTTGTAACAACAGATAAAAAATTCCGTAAAAAATTAAAAAATAGTGGTCCCATAAAATCTGTAATAATAATACGAGGCTCTGTATATGATAAACCTAGAGGCTATGCATTAATTCGTAAATAGGTAATCATAAATAAAAAGAGTATGAAAGTGGGGATAGTCTAAAATTAGCTTATAAATACGTATTAGAGTAGCGTATTGATTGTTGTAAAGTGATTGTAGATATAGAAAGAGGTAGAAAAATTTTTTAATGGAGACCAAGTTATCTTGGGGGTGGATTAGAAGAATTGAAAAAATCAAGAAGTGAAGAAATAAAAAAAAGACTAAGGATGAATCAATAGAAATAGATGAAGAAGATAAAAAAGGTAAAAATAAAAAAGGTAATAAATTTAATCGATTTATAGAGATTAAGTAAAATCAACCAAACATGAAAGATTCAGATCTAAAAGTGCTAAAAAACATAAGATAAGAGATGAAAGTGAATTTAAAGAGAGAAAATCTAAATAGAAACATCAATGAGTGATGATAATGAATAACACAAAAAAATGTAAATTTATTTATGGTAAGTATTCTCCTTTAGACAATCTTTTTTCTTATTCATTTGAATAGTTTATATATAATATATATATGATATCAAATTCTCAAAAGTGCCCTTAAATTAGATATGTCTTATTTAATAAAGAATTATTAGACTAAAAACTTAGTTGATCTTTCTTATTTAAAATAGTATATTTCATATGTATATTATTCTTATTATGATTTAACTATCAGAAAACAAGTCTTATATACTCATATAATAAGATTAAATTTAAGAATGATAAAGAAAAAATAGCTAAAATGTTTTAAGTTAATATGATTGCCTTTAAAAAAGAATAGAATAATCAATAGAGAATTGAAGGAATAACATAATTAAATGATGTTAATATTTTATGAACAGAGAAAAAGATGAGAGGAATAATCAAATTCTGAAGTATTAATAATTAAGAAGAAAAATAAGAATCTAAAAATGTGTTATGGCAAGCAAAATAAAAGCATTGATTTGATTATATTTGATTATATTAGTTATATATATTCAAATTCTTTATTTTTGAGTTTCAAGAAATCAGATTTATTTTTTAAAAGAATAAAAGAAAACCAGAAATATATTTTATAAATGGTTTATATTTAACTACTACCCACTAACTGAACAATTATTAATTAAATTTATATTATGATGAAATATATTATTACGCATCATTACACAGTATAAAAATTAAAAATAGTTTTTACAATTTTAATTATGATTTAAAGAATTAACAAACAATTTTGGAAAACCTTTTGTTCAACTAAGCCTCCAAGTTAGGATAAAAAGAATGTAATATATGCAATGCCACATCCTATATGGAAAGAAGAAGAAGTAAACAATGTGAAGATAGATCATAAATAACCAATGACTTTTGGTGATAGATTTGCTCATTTATTTATTTAATCAATGAGAATAGGATTTGATGTTTTAAGTGGCTATAGAAAAGTATTTCCATGGTAGGATAATATAATATCAGAAAAGAAATGGATAAATAGAGTTCTATTTTTAGAGACAGTAGCAGGTGTGCCAGGATTTGTAGCAGGAATGCATAGACATTTAAGATCATTAAGAGGAATGAAAAGAGATTTAGGTTGGATACATACATTATTAGAAGAAGCAGAAAATGAAAGAGTTCATTTATTAACATTTCTTACAATAAAAAAACCATCATTAATCTTTAGATCAGGTGTAATATTAGCTTAATTATGGTATGTTGCATTATATTCTATTGCTTATATGATATAACCAAGAGTATGTCATAGAATAGTTGGATATTTAGAAGAAGAAGCAGTTAAGACTTATACTCATATGATTGAAGAAATAGAAGTGGAAGGTAGTTCATTACATTCATGGAAAACTAGACCAGCTCATTAAAATTCTATTGAATATTGGAAATTATCTGAAAATGCAACATTGTTAGATGTAGTTAAAGCTATAAGAAAAGATGAAGAGCATCATAAAGAAGTTAATCATAGATTTGCTGATGATTATACTTAATAATCAGAAAACCCATTCCCACCAGGATATTGATTTCTATTATATTATCTAATTTATTTTCATCTTTTTATAATATTTTATAATGATCAAAACAATTGAACCGGTGATTTTATTGCATTCTTAAAATCATAATATATAGTAACAATTGGAGCACTTTCTTAAGAATTTGATCCTTTTATAACTAAAGCATCTCCTATTTTTTTATTAAATATATATTGTAATCTATTTACAATAAACATCTTACTGATTTTGCTTCTCAGCATCCAAATATAATCGGATATCTGTTATACCTCCGTGTCTATCTTATAATTCTTTATTTATGAACATTAATGGATCATTGTATGCTACAACTATTTCAAAGTTTGGATAAGGCCAATCTTTTTCAAGGATTACAAATTTTAGTTTTATGTATTAATGTTATTCACTGTCCATTTCGAATGATGGCTAAAATAAGAGTTTTGTTATGTCTATATATATACATATATATTATTGGCGTTCATTTTAATTTTTAATAATGAAATATACTATCATAATTCTTCAAACCCATCTTCTATTTATACATTACGTTCAATTGATTAAACTTATTTAGGTTCAGATTAATCTTATTAACCTTCTGTTTATTTTTTAATCCATTCTCTTGTTTTAACAAAACGTTCTGGTGTTTTAGGTTCAAAGTTTAGTTATCTAAATGCTTTTTCTCTTCTAAGACGACCACCATATTTAAAGAATTATTGAGACCAATGTTTAATAGCTTGTTAAAGATCCACTGCAGTTTTTGGTTCTTTCCACCAAGTAACTACTTTTGTGGCTCCATTCTCTTAAACATAACTAAGAAATTCATAATAATCAACAAGCATTTTTAGTAATTCATCTTAAAAATCTATTTAATGATTGATGAGGTCTTGTATTTGTTTTTGTATTTACAATTTCAAAAAATTAGTCTGCTCTGAAAAATCTTTTACCATAAAAGAAAGTGAGATAGAGAGGATTGATTATATTACTTAATCACAAGTTTAGAGTGTCGGATTATTTAGTTAAAAGTTACGACTTAAACTAAGTTTGTAGTTAGTTTCTTAATTAATAAGAGTTTCAATTTCTACTTGAGGATCGATCATAATCTCATTCTGAATTTACTCAACATGGATGACCTCACTATTTGAACGAGGGCATAAAGCACCCATTTAATTAATTATATAAATCCAACAAATTATATATATATCCATCACAGTATATCTGATGGTAAAGGTATCTCAAAAATGAAATGACTAGCCATTATGCTAGCAGCTTCAGGTTAATCCATGGGAACCATGTGTCCAGCATTTCTAACAGAAACAAATGTTAAGCCATCAATTTCCCATACGTTACCAGCATTTTATGGTTCTGTTCCTTTTTCTCCTGGTTTATACCAAGGTCTCCATTCTTCAATAGTAGGTAGATCTAAAGGATAATAATAATAAAAATACTTAGTTCTTTTTATAATTTATCAATCCAATACAAGGTACCAGTGATAGGTACAATAGAATCAACATCTCCACTAAATTTTAATATTCTAATTCCATTTTTTAAAAGTTTAGGATATAAATGATAAGTTGCCCCTGGATCTTTTTTATAATCAATATTAGAGCAATCATTCCAATAACCAGCATCATCTCTAATATGAAGTGCCTAAATGATTTAGTATATAGGATACTTTTCTAAAAGCAGCATTATTAAGATAAAGGAATAAAGCTTCTGATTCAGAACATTCATTAACTTATCCAACTATTCCTTCTTTCATTGGATGTAATTTAAATCTTTTGCCTTTAATTAATTGTCCATTTTAATTATAAAATGGTAATTAATAACATTTTCCATATACATTATATGGATTAAAATAGTAATCACTAAAATAATAAGTAATGTATTATTACTCATCTCCATTTATTTATTCCATAACATCTCCATATATTTCCATACATTCTGGATAAGCTTTCATATGACAATAATTTGTCATTGATTCAATTTTATCATTTAATTTTTCACTAATAAATCCATGATTATGAAGAAATTTATAAAAATGAACAGGAAAATTGAATCCTAGATCTGTACATTCTGTAGGATCTGTACATCCATTACCAATCATTAATCCTTTTAATTTTATTCTATCACCTGGTGCTGCATTAGCATTATAATCAATAATTTCATTAGCTAATGTAGGAATATAGATTCCAGCCCAACTTTCTCCAGCTATATAAAAATCTATGCTTTTATAATCTGGGAATTTCTTAAAGAATTCTAATACTGCTTTTAAATTATCTTTAGCTGTACTCTTATCATCAGTTGTGGTATTACCAAAAGAAAATCCTACACCTGCTGGACTTTCTAAATAAAACATGTTAGCCTATAATCATAATATTAATTCATTATTACAAAATTCAACCATGTGAATAGATTTTATTTAAAATTATTTGTACCTAATTCTACTGTGAAAGGACCATTTTCTACCATTGCTCCGTATAAAGATGAACATCCAGGACCTCCATTTAACCACAATATTAATGGAAATGTAGCTTATAATGGTCCAGCTAAACTAAATGCTGGAAATGCAAAATAATGGAATTGTTTTTTACCAGCGTCATCGATTGGTAAATAACCAGAATACCTAATTATTATTATTTACTCTTTACATCTTTCCAGAAAATGGAATCTTAAACTTAGACCATGTTGATCCATCAACCTCGTCTTCTTTTGGAAAGCCTACTACAAATCCAATTAAACAAAATAGTGACAAAAACATTATTATCATAAATTATATTAAGTCATCATATTTATATCTTTATAATTAATTCCAACAAAACAGATATATAATATAATTAAATTGTTAGTTATTTCAACATTAATGTCTATCTCAAGTGAAATACCTAAAGTTTCAACATAAACAAAAACTATTACCTCCTTTCCTTTACCAACCAGATCTCTTATTAAAAGAAATAAGTAATAAAAGTTTTAAGTCATTTTGAAAAACTCTCTAGGAAAGTAAACAATTAAAAAGAAATTCAAACGTAAAAGACTCTTTTCTGGATCAAAACGTACTGTTGTTAACTAAAGAGGTCGAATCCCACTGTCTGAAACTTTTACCTTAAGTGAAGATCGTTTAATACTCTCTTCTGTAATTAAATTAGGACCTAAATTCAAAGTGATATCCTCCTATTTTCCATAAAAGACATTAAGCACTGTCAAAAATCGTTACTATAAGTATTTAAGATATCGTTGGACTCAAATTATGGGCAAGTAATATTGTTTACAAACATATAAGGGATTTTGAAAGTTTGATCAAAGAAAACTAATAAATTATAAAATAAGATGATGAAATTGTAGAAACAGCAGAACTATTCCCAGAAGTCAAAGATATATTGAAAAATATGATCACAAATATCAAATCTTTAATTTCATCGTGATTCTTATAAATATACAACTTATAATTTGTTCTCATTCTTTTTTACATACACATTTTGAAAAAAATTCTAGATTTTTAGAGTAAACATAAGTAATTCAAAATTTCTAAAATATGGACTAACTGAAAATTAAAGGAAAACAATTTATTTTATTTCATTGATATTAATAAACTAATTAGAGTTATATATCATACCCTCAACCTAAAATCAATACAGATCTATTTTCCAAAAAAAACAGAAATTTCGTTAATTTAATTTTTAGATAATCATCATTGTACTTTTAAACGATTAATTTATAGTTTTTATTTTTTATCATCTCAATAAAGATAAATAGTTATCTTAAAGCTTTTATTAATATATTATTAGGCTGTTCATATAAGCTAATGTATATTAAAAAAAATTTGTTTACATTGTTTTAAAAAAATAAAATAAATAAAATTAAATTTAGAGATAATGAGCAGAATTATTTAATATTTATGGTCAAGAATGATTTAATAACTATTCATTTTTAATAAAATCTTCACTAACATTTTTTAGAAAATAATTCGTTAATTGGACAAGAAATGTTCAAAAATAAATTCAATAAACGATAAGATCAAATTTTATTCTAATTCAAATAAACAAAGCCATAGTAATATAATACATATGATTAAATCGAATGTAACTTAAAAAAAAAAATCTAGCTGATAGGATTTTTATTTTGAATTTAAAATAATTGGAAACTAAAAAGTTGTAATTTTTTATCATGTTTTGATAACTTTTTTGAAATAAAATAAAACTAAATTAAAATTATCAAAACAGTTGACTAAAAATAAGGAGTCTTTAAAAAACTTTTAATTTTATACATAATTAGGTTTAAAATGATCAAATAAAGCTAGTTAAAATAAACTTATAATCTAGGAAATTTATTATTTAATAGCAAAAATATTTAGAAAATGAATAATTTTTCATCATTATTATTTTGGTTGATATAATCAATCATAATCTTTTAAAAGCATTTAATTATATTTTAAGATTACAGAATCAGAAATAATTTAGACATACTGTCATTTTTATAACATTGCTATCAAAATCTATTTCATTATTTTCGAATTTTTGAGTTTTATGATGTTAGTAATTCCCAATAGTGCTTACTGGATTCAAAATAAATATTCTCTGAAGCAGATAATTCATATAAAGTCTTCTACTGTTCTGAGTATTCTCTGAAATTATTATTTATTTTTTATTATATTGAAATAACCAATAAGAAAGTTGAAGGTTTTTTTAAATCTTTTCATCATCATTGTTGTTATAAATTTGATTTTATTTTATTTAAAAATTAATTTTATAAGAATTAATGATATTTTCAAGTAATTTATTCATTCCTTTTACTCTTAGTCATTAACAATCTTCAAAAAGAAATAAGCAAACATATCGCAAGTAATTTCATCAAAAAATATAAAATTTTATGGATAAAAGGAATTAAGCCAGATTAATAATCGATTAAATTATTTTTTTTTAATTAGCGAATCTTCAAGCATTATATCTTCAAATTTTATTTTACAAAAGTTCATCTACTTCATTTAGTTTTCAAAAGTTGTGTAAATTTTTGTTTTCAGATTTTATTCTCTTATAGTTTGATCTACTTTAAGCCAAGGATTTTTGTGGATTAAAACTTTGGAAATAAACTTTAAAATCTATTATAAGCGCATAATCCAATTGAGTAAGTGCTAATGATTAATTAACTTACGAAAAATATATTAAGGAAAATAATATATTTATTTTGTTAATCAAGATTTTATTTTTTATTTTAAAAATCCTTAAGTTTTATTAATGTTCACAATTATTGTCAGAATCTAGCTGTACTTTTGTTAAACTTTTTTTGAAATTCACTATCAAATTAAAATTCTTATTAGTTTACTCATAATAATTTAATATAATTCATCTAAATGTTTTTTAGCCTCTATTCTCAAAATGAGATTATATCAAAGAGTTTCTTTCGTTAATTTTTTGGTCTTGGCTTGGCTCTAGTGGCAATTGATATAATCCAATCCAATCTTAACGCTTATTAGGATCAGGTTGAATGCATTAAGTAATAAATGTGATTAAATTCTTAGAATAGAATTGATCTAACCATTTCAAAGGATTTTCGAAAGCTTAAAAGAGGGTTAAACTTTGTAAAAGTACAATTCTATTAATAATAATAAATAATTACCCAAAAGCAAATACATCTACTTTAAACGGGTTAATTTATGCTGTGTCTAATAGATTAGCCTCAGAATTGATAAATGGTTTAGTTTCTGGAGCTAAAAACACTTAAATTTCAGGATCTTTTGTTTACTAATATTTATTAAAATTGCCCCATCTACCACCAATTAATTCTTAATCATAAACTCTATATAAGAGATACTCTTCATCAAAATAGATAGTCTTAGTGGTGATCATACCATGAGGAATATTATTGTTTTAAAAGAAATGTAAAGCTTGCATTACTCCTTTAATAAGACACCAAACTTCTGGTTCAGGTATCAAATATCTCTTTGCTTATCTTCTTTCTGTTAATTCATGAAGAGTTAATTGACCATATTCAAAAAAAACAAATATTTAAAATACTTCTGTCTATCCAAATTAACCTAGTTTCATTGTTTTTTGGCTTTCACTTTCTATCGAATAGAATATATGTGGTTGTTTAATCTTGCAACGTTCCTTATATTATTTAAGTAATTGCTATTATTGATTTACATCCATCTATTAAACTGGAACAGAACACACCAATTTCGAAACCATATATCTGTTAAGAACTTACAATTGTACTTTGCAAAAGGATGAAATCTAAATAATCGTAATTGTCCACGCTATGGGCAGTATATATTGTCAACAAATTTTAATTCTTCAAAGTTATTCAACACTAGTGTCTTTGGATCTCCTCTCTTTGCCATTCAATTTTAATTTTAATGTTATAAATACATATTAAACTGCTTAGTTCACTTTATTAATAAATTTATAATCATCATTTAGGATCTTCAAATAGTTGATTCTACTCTGATTCTATACATCTATACTTTATTTTATTGATCTCTAATATCAAATGTAAGCATTGTTAAACCTAATACTTTCTCAACAAATTTATTTTAATCGTATTTTGTAATCAATATTTAAATTGTAAATACTCTTTTGTCTTTCAATGACTCTAAAATCTTTTCTAATATCATTTGCTATGTTTTTTAATCTCTTGTACGTATATATACAATTATTTACTGAATGCCTTAAAATTTAATAATCTATTCCTACCCCACATTTTATTCATGCTAAGCCTCCTATTCTTCTTCCTCCTATTGTATCACTTTAGTATATAAATTATCAATAAGTCTTTTGATCTCTCTATAATTATTTTATTATGTAAGGGTTCAAATATATATACAAAGGATATTAGATAGTTGATATTATTAAAATATTCTCAACATCTATTCAAATTATGCTCTAATTAATAACTAAATTTTTGTCATACTCTAAATCTATTGGTGTCACCTAAAACTTCATTCGAACAAACTGTAAATGTAATAAATTTTCATCGCTTCCTTCTAAAGTTTCATCTTTATGAAAGCTTTTTATAATTCTATTTTCTTATTATTCTTATCTTGGATATCATAAATCACTAAAAATTATATTGTTATTCATTAAAACTATTAGTATAACTGAATTTTTATAACTCCTAAATCTCTCATTTGTTTTTATATAATCCATAACACAGCCATTTATATTTAAAATTTACTTTCTTCCTTTTTTATATATTTTTAAACTTCTTTACTAATTATTTAATTGTAAATTCAAATTTCTAAAAAGATTGCCAAAAAAGTGTAATATTGATCTAATCTTAATGGGCAATAGCAACAAAAAATAGTCTTAAAGACCATAAGAGTTTTTAAATTTGATTTCCAAAAATAATATTCTTGAATAGATTATCAATATTATTAATTGATTTTAATAAATTTTTATTTGAATAAATTATATAATAATTACCAAAATTATTGATGATGTTATCTTTAATATTTTTTATTTGTAATATATATCACACGTGCACATGTTTGTTGATTCTTCAGAATTTCATTATTTAGATACTAAAAGATGAATGAGAAAAATACTTTGTTTAAAAGTAATACGTGAATCGCCAAATTGCCTTCCATTTTATTTCAAAATTAAGTACATAAGATTTTCATTTTATAAGAGGAGTTATCCTGAAGGTTTTGAGTTAGGTCTTTTAAGTTCGATTTCATCTGGTTCACAATTAGTTTGACTAACAATCCAGTTGAGGAATTCTTGGTTGTTTTTTTTAGAATCTAGATTTTCAAAAGCAATTTTATATCCATCATCTTCTTATTCTACTTATTCTTATTAATTATTTTTAGAATTGTTATTATTGTTTGAAAATTGTTTTCCATTATTAAATTTGGCTTCTCTGACAAATATTTGAATTTCATTACTTTAATATTTACCATCCTAATATTTTTGGAATATTGATACTTTTTCTTACAATCTAAATTTTCTACCTTCTAAAATTAATAATTTCTAAACTTTGTCTGCTCCAGTAACAACAACATAACCTTTGGTAGGTTATTTCTATACTTTTTTACATTCTTCAATTTGTGCCTATATCAAATCACATCTCTCAAGAATATAATTGATAATTTAGATGGGTACAGTGTTAGAAGGCAGATTTTAGATTTCAACAACTAGAAATATGTCTAGAGAAATACCAAATTTTTATTTAGAGTTATCTGGAACACTATCAAGGTATTTTTGTTTTTTTTTGATTTCTCTTTCAATAGATTTGCCACCTTTATAACCTCCAGGAATTCTACAACCTTGCATATCATAAAAGTTATAATCTTGATCAAAATATCCTGCAGGTTCTCCATCTCTATCATAATAATTTAATTCTTTATCAACCCAACCACCATAATCATCAACAATATATATATCAGTAGAATTGGCAGATTGGGCAATTCGAAATCCTTCTCCCTCAGGACCGTCGTATTAAATATATTAATCAAAAAGGGCTGGGTTATGAGATGGTTTATGTGTCATGAATAAAATATATAATTATTATATATATAAAACACTATATAACAATATAGAAAGTAGTCTAATGGAAGTATAATAAAAGAAAAAATGTATAATAATGTAGTTTTTTTGTTCAAAGGGAGTCGTACTGATCAATTATATATTTTAAATAAATAATATAAATGAAGTCTAAATAAGTGATTCCTAAAGGAAAACATGCATTTGATTGTAATGGTTAGACATTCATAGTCGATGACAAATATTAATTTATAAAATAAATTGGACATGGAGCTTATGGAGTTGTGTGTTCAGCCTTGAACAAGAAAAGTCAACAATTAGTGGCAATTAAAAAAATATCAGACGCATTTTCTGATCTTATCGATGCAAAAAGAATTGTGAGAGAAATTAAACTTTTAAGTAATTTATTTCTTAGTATTATTCATTAGAATTCTTTGATCATGAGAATATCGTTTCGCTTCTTGATTTGTAAAAACCAGAACATCCATAGAATTATAAAGACATATACATTATTACTGATCTTATGGAAACAGATTTGCATAGAGTTATTTATTCAAAACAAGAATTAACAGATGAGCACATTCAATATTTTCTATATTAAGCATTAAGAGGATTATTGTACATTCACTCTGCTAATATAATCCATAGAGATCTTAAACCAAGTAATCTACTTTTGAATAAGAACTGTGATTTAAAAATATGTGATTTTGGATTGGCTCGTGGTTATGAAGATGAAGGTGAATTTAAAACAGAGTAATATTATCTATTTATATAGATATGTAGTAACTCGGTGGTATAGGGCACCTGAAGTTATCTTGAATGCTTCTGAATATAATAAATCAGTTGATATCTATGCACTTGGTTGCATTTTAGCTGAATTATTGGGTAGACAACCACTATTTCCTGGCGAAGATTATCTAGATTAAGTTTAAAGAATAATCTAGGTTTTAGGAACACCAATAAATGATGATGTTCGATTTATTGGTAACAAAAATGCCCTCACTTATTTGAAAAGTCTACCTAAAAAGCCTAAATAGTAATGGAAGAATTTGTATCCTCATGCATAACCCTTGGCTCTAGATTTATTAGATAAAATGGTTACTTTTAACCCAGACAAGCGTTTGACAGTCTAAGAGTGTTTAGCACATCCTTATTTTGAAGGACTTCACAACCCTGAAGAAGAACCAATCTGTGAATGCACTTTTGATTGGGGATGGGATAGTTTTAAACCATCTGAAGCTATACTTAAATAAATGGTATATGAGGAATCATTGTCATTTCATCCACTTAAGTGATTTATTTTTATTAATTTAATATGGATCTGAGTTCCTAACTAAATTAGATGAAATTTATTACAGGTCTTGATTTTCGTTAAAATCTTATTGATAATGGACATCTAGGTTAAGGAAACAATATGGTTTATAATGTCTTGGTAAATGGATAAATATATGCTTTAAAAGTAAAGCATTTTTATTAATGAAGTAAGTCATAATCAACTCATGCAACATTGAAAATGAAATCAAAATTATGCAATCTTTATCTCCTTCTCCTTATCTTATCAATCTTATAGATTATATGATACT